AAAGCCATCTGGGGTAGAAAAGTCTAAGACACTCATCTCTAATTAACCAGCAGACCAGAGGTGAAGGCATGGCTCAAATGGTAGAACATCATCCTTAAGTAAAAAGGCTAGGCAAGGATGTGAGGCCCTGAGTTCAAGCCCCACTACCAGCAGGGGAAAAAAATACTATCTGTATGTGTATGTATGGAGAGAGAGAGAGAGAGAGATAATAGATAGATGGAGAGACAGGGAGAGAAAGAGAAAGAAAGAAAATCACAACTCCCTTCTTCCTTTCTACCATGTCAATTGATAAATTCCAAGCATTTTGTGAACTTCAATCTTTTGTTATATAATTGGGGTTTTTCTGATTTATTGTTGTTTTAGAGGTGCTATGCAGTTGGGTTACCTTTACATACCTCAGGTAATAAGTATATTTCCTTTGCATAGTATCAGCTGTTCCCTTATTCTCTCCCATTCCCTCCCTTCCATCTCCACCCATGAGTTGCATAGTTCACTATCATCAATCTACAGTGCCCTCCACTGAGGAAACTGAGGCATAAAGAAATGACATGGTGGGTCTGGGAATGTGGCTTAGTGGTAGAGTACTTGCCTAGCATGCATGAAGCACTGAGTTCGATTTCCTCAGTACCACATAAACAGAAAAAACTGGAATGGGCACTTTGGCTCAAGTGATAGAGTGCTAGACTTGAGCAAAAGAAGCTCAGGGACAGTAGCCAGGCCCTGAGTTCAAGTCCCAGGACTGGCAAAAAAAAAAAAAAATTACATGGCATGCCACAACAGGAACCAAGAATCAAAATATACTCCACTCCCCATGCTACACATCCTAATCCAGTTCTCATGGTTATGATTTCCTGGTTAACTAGCCCAGAATTAGCCTTTGAGTAAGGCAATTGATAGACTGTTAATTTTACTATGGAAAACATTAGATATATTTTTATATAATATAATGGACCTCATGAAATCCATATCTTAGCTTCAACAATGGTCAAAACACAACCACTTGTTTCATAAAGAACCCTGACTTGCAGCAATGGACTGTGGTCTGGCAAATCCTGTCATGTCATTCTCTCTGGAATCTTTTCTTTCTTTTTTTCTTCCCCCCTCTTCCCTGCCCCCAGCCCCACCAGCCTTTGGAACTACTGAGATTTGACACTACTGGAGCCCCACCCCCATCCCCTCCAACAGCTGTTTTTTTACTGGTATTTAGAATAAGGCTGATATCTTTCTGCTTTTTTTGGTGGTTCATTGGAGATAAGAGTCTCACACTTTTCTGCCTGGGCTAGCTTTGACCCACTATCCTCAGATTTCAGCCTCTTGAGTAGTTAGGATTACAAGCATAAGCTATCAGTGCCCAGCCTAATTGTTATGTATTTTTAAATATCAGCTAGAAGAAAACTTAAAAATAAACCACCTCTCCATGTTATTTCCTCATAACACTTATTGTTGTCTGAAATATTCTTACTATTTTACTTGTTTTTTATCTCTTTTCCCACATACTCTAAATTTAAATCCCAGGAGGGGAAAAGCCTTGCCTATTTGCTTACCAATGTATCCAGGTGCTAGAAGAGTCATAGCAGAAGCTCGATAAACATTTCATGATTACAGAGTTCTTGATTTTGCCGTGCTTCGTTGTACACTAACCTTTCTTCTTTTAGATGCATTTCCTAAGGATAGCATCTGAAGTATGGGTCATGTAAGGTGCATTATCACTCCTCATTTTAACATATTTATTCATTGAAAAAGCACTCAAAATGCTCACATCTACACACTTTTATGCAAGTCACTTAAATAAACAATGTTTACAGAGAAAATGTAGTAGCACAGGGATATGTTTGTAGTTACATGAAAATAAGCAAGATATAAATATGTATAACTGTATGACTACAAACAGGATTTTTCAAACACTTGCAGAACAGATTGAGAGGAAACATGCCAGAATGCTGAGTTGTCTTTGGTGTTATAATTGAAGGCCACTGGTTTTTTGTTCTTCTTCCTGCTTTTCCACAGATGCTAATTTTCTATACTGAACATGTATTACTCTTAGCATAAGAAACAAAAAAAAAAAACCTAGCCCTTTTTTTTTTTTTTTTGGTCGGTCATGGGACTTGAACTCTGGGCTTGGGTGCTGTTCCTCAGCTCTTCAGCTCTACTGCTTGAGCCACAGCGCCACTTCCAGTTTGTAGTGGTTTATTGGAGATAAGAGTCTCAAGGACTTTCCTGCCAGGGCTGGCTTTGAACCATGATCCTCAGATCTCAGCCTCCTGAGTAGCTAGGATTACAGGTGTGAGCCACTGGTGCCCAGCAAATGGCCCTATTTTTAAAAAGGATTATTGTCATTATGTGGAAGGTAGGTATGTGGAATAGAGCTCTTGTTGCACCCAGCTTAGACTATTCAATCTGCCACATTTCATATCCTCCTTAGAAAGCACCTTTCCATTATCTGGCTCTGTTGTCAATTGTAAGCAAACCAGTGTTTTTCTTTCTGCTTACAACTATCATTTATTTGGACTTGCTCTGCTTACAGATTCTCCATGGAATTCTCCAAACTCATATCAATACACTAGGGCTGCTTACTCCCTTCCCCGTCATCCTTGATACTTCCTCCATTGCCCATTCCCAAATACACAAGATTATGATGCAGATTACACTGCTCATATTTTCTAAGGGTCTCACTGGCCCACACTGGTCAATCCTCCCACCTCTGCTTCAAAAGTGCTGGGATTACATCAGGCCTGGCAAAGTCATATACTCCTGACCATATTCTACCATTACAATCCAACCCAAGAAATACAAATAGGAAAGTATGTTCTAGGCATGCTTAATTAAAATTTACAACTACTCAATGACTATGCGTTCTTTTTTTTTTTTTGGTCATGGGGCTTGAACTCTGGGCCTGGGCGCTGTCCCTCAGCTCTTCAGCTCAAGGCTAGTGCTCTACCACTTGAGCCACAGCGCCACTTCCAGATTTTTCTGTTTATGTCATCTGAGGAATCAAACCCAGGGCTTCATGCACACGAGGCAAGCATTCTACCAATGACCACCTTCCCCGCCCTATGAATTACTTTTTGGAAATAATTCTATTATTTTTTTATGTCGTACCAAGGAATCAAACCCAGGGCCTCATGTATACTAGGCAAGCACTCTACCAGTAAGCCACATTCCCAGCTCCTATGCGCTTGGGGTTGTTTTTTTTTTTAATATTTTGTTGTTGTGGTAGTGGTACTATAGAATCGAACCCTGGGCCTCATGCATGCTAGGCAAGCACTCTATCACTAAGCCACCTTCCCAGCCCCCAACTATGCATTCTTGATATTGGTTTGTGTCACTGTTATTTTATAAACAATAAAATGTCAGTGTCCTGGAAAGGCTCCTATTTTAAGTACAAGTATCACTGGTTTCATTCAGCATGGAAGATTTCTATCACAAGAAATATTATAGCACCCTCTACTGTTAGGAAACAAAGTAGAAGGGTATCTTGGGCTTATTTTTCCCTACAGGAGTCTCCAGCATCATAGCACCACAGGCTGCCAACCATCTTGTTCATATGTAAAAACATGATTTAGAAGAAAAGCATAGGGCTTAATGCAAACAAGATATTAAAAGTAAAGGCAAAGAATAAAAATCCAATCATGTGTGGAGCTGAATGGTAGTGAGAGAGATCTGTAAAACTCCTGAGAATGTATGTCACAAATGGCATAAGCCTACTCATTTCAGCCTCCAATAAAAGGAAATAATGGTGCTGAAAATAAAGAGAAAAATCTTTGCAGGCCTTTCAAGAAATCTTAAATGAGTAAACTGATGTTTGATGGATTTTAATATTTTAATGTGCTTAAGCAAAATTACAGTGGGCTAACTACATGGTCCATAATTCCTTCCAAGCTCCAAAATGTATGATTCCATTAGCTTAAACTAAATTCATCTTCACAGTGAAATAGCTACCAGAGAAATATACATCAGCTCATAAAGAAGCAGATGAATTCTGAAAAATAATGCTCAGTGGCTATCAATGATTTAATTTAAAAAGTGGCAAGTATCCAGACATAGGATGACAGCACTATTTCATTCTTGAGAGGAGAGGCAAGGGGGCCTTGCCTAGTACCATGGCCAACTATCCCTGGAGGGATAGTCATGTCAGTTTTAGTCTGCTATAGCAAGAAGTTATTATCTCATCCTCCACAAGTTACCCTCAGCCCACCACATCTGAGCAACTTCCACACATAGATGCCAGGGCAATACTAGGGCCATGCAGGGTCTTTGAAATGAGGGATTTCTCCATTTTCTTGCTTCAGGTCATCAAGCAGAAAATTCTGCCTCTTCTGTATAAGGAAGACTTCATCTTCCATGACTATCACATCCCACCACATCGAAGAGAAAAGTCAGTTAACTGGGGTGAATTAGGGAAAAGTCAGTGTACACAGACTATAATGTCAGTCACTCATATTTCCCCAGGCAGTTTCAGTGCTAGGGACTCATTGCTTCATTCCCTGTGGCATGACTACACAGGTAAATTCAATTTAAAACAAGGAAGTTCAAGTTCAATTTGCTCTTAATTCCAAGCCACCTCCTACTTTTGAGCATTTCAGGAAGAAATAATCCACTCATTTACAAAAGGAACATGCTGATCAAACATGGAATGTGTTGATCAAACATGAGGAACAATAGAACGCATTACCATGAGGGTAGGAGGCTTGTATCAATATTCACTGTAATCTCTGTGGCTTCTAGAACTATTTGATCCACAGTATCTACTTAATCAATATCTGCTGAATCAATTAATGAACTATTGTTTGAAGAACTAATTTGGGGCCACTTAAATTATTTTTAATGTTAATGTTTGTCTTCAGGCTTTGGAAGAATAATATCACTTTACATAAGATCTCCTCAATTGTTCTTAGGGGAAAATATTTCAAAAGGAAGGAAAGATTTCTTTTACATATAAAGTTGACTATTTGCTTTAGACCAAAAAACACACAACCTTTGGAAAGAAACTTTCTATAAAACAATGTTTCAATATAATTTTATTAGCACTTATTACATCAAAACTCGGTTATACTGATCCAAATGAATTTAGAAAATTCAAAAGCATATGTAATTAGCTTTTAACAATATGGTAGAACTAATTCTCAGCCCTCAAAGTCAAGAATACTACTTCAAATTAAGTGTAGTTCTATCAAGAACTAGAAATGAACTCTGTGTGAATAGCATCAGTTAAGGTTCCATGAAAATATAACATATATCAATGAATGTATCAGTGGCAAATACCACTGGCTTCCAAATTAAAGGAATTTTGAACCAAGACACAATCAGGGGCTTTCATTCAATACAGAGTTATGGTAAGTTTATAAGGAGACCCTGAATCCTTAAGGACTTGTAGTATGATTTTATGCCTTAACACTAGTTTAAAATACATCAACTCTAATGCATAGATTATGACACATTATGACAACAGAATACTTTTCCACAGAGCTTTTTCTATATCACAAAACGCTGACATTTCCAGTTAGTATATGCTGCTCATTGCTGATCTCGTGAAATTCTACGTCCTCCAGCTTGAGCAGTATTGTAGGATTCACAGATTTTACACTTCATGCCTAAAATATGGAACTGGACTGTCGATCGTCCATTACAGTCATTGCAGAGAATCTAAAAAATGAAGAGATAAACTCATGGTTAAGTAAGTTAAGACACTGTCTGCTCAAAGCAGTCCCTTAATCATACTGAAGATATGCAAACATACACAGATACATCTAAACAGTCCCTTAAGAAATGTCCCTTAAAAACATTCCCTTTTAGCTAGGCGTCGGTGGCTCACGCCTGTAATCCTAGCTGCTCAGGAGGCTGAGATCTGAGGATCACAGTTCAAAGCTAGCCTGGGCAGGAAAGTCCGTGAGACTCTTATCTCCAATAAACCACCAGAAAACCGGAAGGGACACTGTGGCTCAAGTGGTAGAGCACTGGCCTTGAGCTGAAGAGCGCAGGGACAGTGCCCAAGCCCAGATTTCAAGTCTCATGACCGACCAAAAAAAAAAAAATTCCCTTTTGGGCTGGAAATGTGACTTAGTGGTAAAGTGCTTGCCAGCATGCATGAAGCCCTAGGTTTGATTCCTTAGTACCCCATAAACAGAAAAGGCCAGAAGTGGTGCTGTGGCTTAAGTGGTAGAGTGCTTGCCTTGAGCAAAAGAAGCTCAAGGACAGTGCCCGAGCTAAGGTCAAGCCCCAGGACTGGCAACACACACACACACACACACACACACACACACACACACACACACACACACACACACACACACACACACACACACACACACACACACACACACACACACACACACACACACACACACACACACACACACACACACACACTCCCTTCTTATGTAACTGAAACACCTCTGCACATCACCCTTACAATAAAATTTAAGAATGTTCTCAATAAAAAAAGTCCCTTATTCTCCACTGAAAACATATTTATTAAGGGTAGCTTTGAATTTAGAAAATGACAACAAAAGTTGAAAGAAAGATTATTGTACAAGAGCTTCCAAACTGCATGAATAGTAAAAGCAAGAAAATTAATCTAGGCATAACCAGATTAACACCTAATACTTACAATTCAAAATAACACATACAATTTCATTATTTTTCACTGGCACTCAGAACTTTATCCATCAGGTAATAAAACTGAAATTTGTACACATCTGTGAAATTCTGGTTACTTTTTTAGTCCCAACATAGTCTGCTATAATAATGACATTGAAGTTCAAAAATGAGCTCTTTCACTGGATGTTGATGAAAACGAACTAAGCAACTCAAGGGCAGAGAGTGGAGGGAGGGCATGAGAGGGAACAAGAGAACAGCTGACACTAAGCAAAAGGGAAGACATGTATTTATCACCTGATGCGCAAGAAATAGTTGTACTGTCAAAGCTCACTGAATTCACAAACATCATAGACCATGATAATAACAATTTGCCTTGTGAAGGTTAAAATGTTTGTGATTTAACTAAGTATCACTATCTCACAATATTGTGACATTTATGCAATCTCTTGATCTCAATAAAAAATTATTCCAAAAATGAGCACTTTCTCAACTGAGTAAAAAGAGAAGGCTCGAGCCGGGCGCTGGTGGCTCACGCCTGTAATCCTAGCTACTCAGGAGGCTGAGATCTGAGGATCGCAGTTCAAAGCCAGCCCAGGCAGGAGAGACCGTGAGACTCCTATCCCCAATAAACCACCAGAAAACAGGAAGTGGCGCTGTAGCTCAAGTGGTAGAGCGCTCGCCTTGAGCTGAAGAGCTGAGGGACAGCACCCAGGCCCAGAGTTCAGGCCCTATGACCAACCAAAAAGAAAAAAAAAAAGTACTATTTAAATGCAAAGAAACTAGTGGTTGCCTATGATTGGAGGCCCTGAGTAACAGCCACTAATGGATACCAATTCCTTTTTGTAATGAAAATGTTCTAACGGTACGGTGATTATACAAATCCATGAACATACTAAATGGCACCCAATTGTACTTTTAAAGAAATGAATTCCACGGCATGTGAACTGTATCTTAGCAAAGCTATTATTTCAAAGCCAAATCATCTACATAAACATATCACACTTCACTCTCTATTAAAAGATCATAAGACTGTCAGTATCCTAAAGGTGATCTTTTATTTTTTACTTCGCATTACTTCAATTACTCACATGAACTGTGAAACTTTCTGGTGTGAATAAAGAAAAAGTTTTGTGGTGTTGAGCTACATCCTCAGCTCCCAAAATAACTCCTTTGACTTTGTTATGCAGTTTGCATCCTTGTGCATACAAGTACTGAGATAAAAATATATATGCCAAAAAATTTTAAAGCATCAGAAAACTATGCAACCTTCCCATCCTCAATTCAATACTATGCTAATAAGTAAATACAGTAGTACATCAGTTAGTGGAAGGGAAAATCCTTCACAAGTCAAAAGGCACAGAAACATTTTTCATGCTCTCTCTGCTAGTTAAGACCAGTTGAAGAATAATAAGTGTACTAAACAATAAAAACCAAAAGGTAAATTTCAAAAATAGGGCAAACATGTTCTCCTGAAATGTAATATGGAAAAATTTAAAACAAAACACAATTAAAATAATTCATCAGTGATCCACTGCATTACTCTAGTAATGTAAAAAGCCAGATTACAGTTTTTGCCTGCCATCTAGTGTTGAGAAAAACTGCACGAAAGTATTCCTGGGAATTTTTTCCTTTATCTGAGCTCAACATAACAATTTAAAGATAATTGTGTCCTTCCCATTCATCAATCATCCTGGCCTTTCCATGGAAGCAGTATTTTCTAGACAAATTTAAGCAGAATGGAAAAAAAAAAGTTATTGACAAAAAATTGTGGAAAAAAAAAAGTTTAGGTACTACTTCTACTCACATCCACAGTCATATTCTGATACTCTGAAGGCATGGGAGTCTGTGCTACCTCATCATCCAGCTGTCTCCAGTATCTTGTCATATCTAAAGCAGAGTGCATACACAATGGACATCTGTAGCCTCTGCAAGAGACATTTTCCACACATTAACCCATGTATACAAGAAGATGAAAGCTCTCTGACACATAACATCCAAGACACAATGTACATTATTACTCTACATCTCAAGATATTCTATTAGGAACCAAGGATTCTTCTAACCACAGTAGGTTTACATTAAGTCTTGTATCCTATGGTATTTTTTTAAACACTAAGTCTCTGTCCTCAGTTCTATAAAACAGAGGAATCAGTCCATATTCTTTGTGGAACATACTTCATATACTTAAAACTGCCAATTAAGCTATTCTTTGGCTATACAACCTCAAATTCTTAATATATTTATGAAAAGATAGTAATCCTAAAAATTATTCAAATCATATTATTTCCTTTCTAAAAATCTGCAGAAGTTCCTGTTAAGATTCTTCCTTGCAGAGCACAGGTGGTTCACGCCTATGATCCTGGCTACTCAGGAGGCTGAGACCTGAAGATCAAGGGTTCGAAGCCAGCTCAGACAGGAAAGCCTGTCAATCTCTTATCCCCAATTAATCACAGAAAAAGCAGGAAATAGGGCTGTAGCTCAAGTTGTAGAGTGCTAGCCTTGAGCAAAATGGGCTCAGAGGCAGCTTCTACGCCCAAAGTTCAAGCCCCAAGACCAGCAAAAAAAAAATCTTCCTCATCAACTTACAAAACAAAAACACATGTCTCCTCTTTCCTAACTACTTCTCATTGCATTTTAGTTCCAGTTTTAAATCCAATATCACTCATCTAACAAAATTCTGGGCAACATTCCTATGTATTTTTCACATCATCATGACTGTCTCTGGAGGTGATTGTACACCTCAGTATAGCTAAAACAAGAGAAGTCAACCTCAAGCTATGAAAGTACATAAGGCATAACAAGAGAGACATGGGGACAGAAGTATAGTCCTTTATCCTCTAAAACGCCTCAGCTAGTTTACTATTCACCTGCCTTCCCCTTCTCCTTATAAATCTCTGCCATGCCCAATATAGTGCAAACAGTAGTCAGGCCTCCCCACTCCCTCCCTCCCCAGCCACATCTCTTACAATGAGCATTTTTTAATCCCATCAAACACTCACTCTTTCAACATTTCTTCATAACATGTTCTGAAAAAGAATAACATTATTTCAGTAAAACAAGAACTATCTCCACCATCTGCAAACATTTTATGAAACAAAAAGTTATTTTACCTATGTAAAAGATGTCCACATGGTAAGACATGAGCAACAACACGGGATGTGTGAATGTCCTAAACAGAAGAAAAAGTGGCAGTATTTGTATGAACATTATATAAGTATCCAATTGCTTTCAATTCAAGAAGGAAAAGTTCTAGAGAAAAATATTTAAAACTGACCTCCAAACATATTGGACAATTCTGCCGGGAAACATTTTCAATACACTATTTAAAAGACAATTTCAAATTAACAAAAGCATCAACAGATGAAAACATCAGATGTAACAACAGTATTAAGAAAAACAATAAAATCAACTCTCTAAAAGTAATAACTGAACTGATATGTGTTTATTATATGTCAGAAAAAAAACTACTTATTACATGTCTTTAATGGTCACACCATATTAGGCTTGACAAATTACCTTATTTAACCTCAATAAATCTTTTTAGATTATCTTATCAAAGAATTACAATACCCAAGATCCTGAGGTAACAAGGTTAGGACTTTTCTTATTTGTGTTTTACTATAAAGGCCCTAAATTGTAGTACAAACTAATTAATAATGGTAACAATAACAACACTTGGTATTTACTACATGCCATTTGGTACCTATTTAAAGCTCAATTCTGATAATCCTATGTGAAGTTGTATGATTACTTCATTTCAGATGACAAAAGGCCTCGTGTAAGTGAGTAACTTACAAAGGTACACACTAGCAAGTATATCCAAGTAGCTAGAATTATAGGAGTAAGCACCTGTGCCCAGCTAAAACCAGTTTTTAATGAAAGCAGTTGAGAAGTCATAACCACTTACAAATAAAGAACAAAAAATAATAAAGAATCAACAAAATACAAATAAAATATGTATAGCTCTATAAAAATAGAGTTTAGTAAAGACAAGAAAACCTCAAATAAGTTGGGCACTGGTGGCTCACACCTGTAATCCTAGCTATTCAAGAGGCTGAGATCTGAGGATCACCATTTGAAGCCAACCCAGGCAGAAAACTCCATGAAATTCATTTCCAATTAGTCACAGAAAAAGCCAGAAGCAGTGCTGTGGCTCAAGTGGTAGAGTGCTAGCAAATAGGAACTCAAGAACAACACCTCCAGAGTTCAAGCCCCAGCACTGGCCAAAAAAAAAAAAAAAAAAAACCCTCAATATTAAATTTTAAGTCTGAATTGTAATCCCTTCTCTACTACATGAAAATCCCTTAGATTTACGACAAACCATTACTTCTCTAGTATTAGTTTCCTTATTTATAAAATGAAACAAAACTTATTTCATTTGACTATATTTCACACACACAAACACATCTCTGTAATTAAGATATATCTAAAAATGGATGGCATGATTGAGTTGACAAAATGCAAATAATGATGTGAAGATGCAATGAGTTGGGTTTGGGGATACACACACACACACACACACACACACACACACTCACACACACACACACACACACACACACACACACACACACACACACACACACACACACACACACACACACACACACACGCTACCTGTATTTTAGAAACCAGAACAACTTATTATCAAGTACAGAAATGAAGCCACTGTTACTAAGGAGGAAGGGAGTACTATATACTTCCTCCAGATAAAGTAGAAAAATTCTCTCACCAGGAAACTACTCATTTTCCTCTGTGAAGAGAAGAAAACCTATAGTGGCTGGGAAGAACCTAATGCCATGTGCTTCAAATTGCTAACTTCTGATGGTGATAAATTTACTGGTAAAAAAAATAACATGCTCTGGGAGCTGGTGGCTCACGCCTGTAATTCTAACTACTCAGGAAAGACTGAATCTGAGAATCATGGCTCAACGCCAACCCAAGCATGAAAGTCCATCAGGCTCTTATTGCCAATTAACCACCAGAAAACTGGAAGTGAAGCTGTAGCTCAAAGTGGTAGAGCACTAGCCATGAGCAAAAGAGCTCAGGGACAGCACCTAGGCCCCTGATAACTGACCAAAAAAAAAAAAAGATAACATGCACTAATGTCAGGAATAAAAGCCATGTTAAGAAACCAGGTCAATTTCCTGTGAATTAATTCAGTGAGGTCAATTTTACAGAGATCTCTTCATATGTGTTATCAAAAGTACTTATTTTAGCCAGGCACCAGTGACTCAAGCCTTTAATCCTAGCCACTCAGGAGTCTGAAATCTGAGGATCATCATGGTTTAAAACCAGCCAAGTCAGGAAGGTCCCAGAGACTCTTATCTTCAATTAAGTGGAGCTGTGGCTCAAGTGATAGAGCACTAGCCTTGGGCAATAGAGCTCAGGGACAGTGCCCAGGCCCTGAGTTCAAGCCCCATGACCAACTGGGGAGGGGCGGTACACATTTTAAGTGAAAGACATGCCTCAAGCCAGTACTATTTAAGAACCTGATACAGGGCCAAGGCTCACAGAGTTCTGTCCCCAAACTCAGCCATCAATGCTGAGTGAAAGGAGGGTCTTCTGGCCCCAGTATTGGTACCAGGTGGGGCCCTAATCTGGCAACAGTCTCTGCAGGCACCTTAACACACAGCTAGCTAACCAGAAGCCTGCTTTGACATCTTAGAGTGGGACGGACACCAATGACGGCCCATGGCCCCATGGCTAGTGTCCCCACATACAACATCCTCATGTCATGGCCAGAGAGAGCACGCAGCTGGACCCAAAAGCCTGCACACTGTTGTTTCCAAGGTGATACCAATTGCACAGCATCCACACAAAATTATAGCCCATTACCACTGAACCTAATTCCTAATCTTAATATCCTCTAAAAACCCTGAACCCAAATGTGAAACATCAAGAGATCACAAAATTCATGAGCAATCAAGACAACACTCCACTCTCAAAACACAACAACTCAGGGAAGGACTTCAGTGAGAGTGCAGAAGAGATGGAGAACAAAAGAACCATTAAAGCAATGATGAGAGCACTGGCAGAGGAAATAAAAGAGCAGATCAAAAAACGAATAGCCAGGAGCCTGCCCATCGTAATCCTAGCTACTCAGGAGGCTAAGATATGAGGATCACGGTTAAAAGACAGCTTAGGCAGGAAAGTCCAATAAACCACTAGAAAATTTTGGCCTGTGCCAAGGAGACCTAGGGTTTCTCCTATTCTCGTCCTGTAATGTTTTCAGGGTGTCTGCTTTGACTCCAAGGTCTTTGGTCCATTTGGAGTTGATTCTGGTGCAGGGTGATATATAAGGATCTAGCTTTAATTGTCTACAAGTGATTAACCAATTTTGCCAGCACCATTTACTGAAGAGGCTGTCTTTCTTCCATTCTATTTTTTTTAGCTCCCTTATCGAAGATTAGGTGGCTATAGGTCTATGGGTTCATTTCTGGGTTTTCAATTCTATTGCATTGGTCCTGAGGTCTGTTCTTGTGCCAGTACCCAGAAACACAACAACTCAAGGAAAGGTTGGACAAATGGGATTGCGTGAAATTGCAGTTTCTGCATGGCAAAGGACAAAGCTAGCAAGATCAATAGAAAGCCCACAGATTGGGAGAAGATCTTCACTAGCCATACAACGGACAAGGGTCTCATATATACCTGGAACTCAAAAAATTAAATCCCCCAACAATAAATCCTCAAAGAAACAACTGCCCAATAAATAAGAGGGCTAAAGACTTACAGAGAAACTTCTCTGAAGAGGAAAGAAGGATGCCTATTAGACACATGAAGAAATGTTCAACCTCCCTGGTCATAAAAGAAATGCAAATCAAAACAACATTGAGATAGCACCTCACCCCAGTTAGAATCAAGAACTCTAATTTAAACAGCAGATGCTGGAGGGGATGTGGACAGAAGGGAACCCTACTGCATTGTTGGTGGGAGTGTAAACTTGTTCAACCACTCTGGAAAGTACTATGGAGGTTCCTCAAAAGAATCCACATAGAGCTCCCCTATGACCCAGCAATCCCACTTTTGGGCATTTACCCAAATGATCACAAACAAGACCATTCTAAAGCTACCAGTACAACTATGTTTATTGCAGCATTATTTACCATAGCTAAGATATAGAACCAACCCAGATGCCCCTCAGTAGATGAATGGATCAAGAAAATGTGGTAGATATACACAATGGAATTCTATGCCTCCATCAGAAAGAATGACACTGCCCCATTTTTAGGAAATGGAAAGACTTGGAAAAAATTATATTAAGTGAAGTAAGCTAGGCCCAAAGAAACATATGTCCCATGGTTTCCCTTATTTGCAATAACTAGTATATGTCTGAGACAAGCAGAAATGGTCAGATAAGTTGATGTTGGGTGAAATTAACCCCAAGATAAGGATTCAAATGGTTTTTCTTTCTTACTATTGTTTCTAACATATTTATGGTTTCTTTGTTACTTTGTATGTCCCTCCCTCACATTATAACAAAGAAGGCTTGATAAGGCTTGCTAAGAAATGTACTCATTACCTTGCTCATGTAATTGTAACCCCTCTGTACGGCATTTTCACAATTTAAAAAAAAATAAAGAAAAGAAAAAAAAAAACACTAGAAAACCAGAAGTAGAGCTGTGGCTCGAGCGGTAGAGGGCTTGCCTTGGGCTGAAGAACTGAGGGACAGTGCCCAGTCCCAGAGTTCAAGCCCCATGACTGACAAAAAAAACAAAAACAAATAGAAGAATTCAAGGAGGAAATGACGAAGAAATTGCAAGGCATGGATTAGAAGATAGAAACATTACATACCTCAATGAAGGAAATGAAGGATGAAATTAATACCTGAGAATTGACATCAATAAAGAGGTAGGAGAAGCCAGGCGCTGGTGGCCCACAACTGTAATCCTAGTGATTCAGGAGGCTGAGATCTAAGGATCGAGGTTCAAAATTAGCCTGGGCAAATAAAGTCCATGAGACTTTATCTCCAATTAACTACCAGAAAACCGGAAGTGGTACTGTGGCTCAAGTGATAGAGCACTAGCCTTGAGCTGAAGAGCCCAGGAACAACGCCCAGGCCGAGTTCAAGCCCCACAACCGACCAAAAAAAAAGAAAGAGCTAGGAGACATAAAAAGCTCCATCTCCCCTTTGTAAAGCACAGTTGAAAGCATAGGCAATAGGACAAGTGAAGTGGAAAACAGGGTATCTGGAGTTGAGGATAAAGCAGAGGAATTAGAACAAAAGGTCAAAAAGCATGGAAAAAGCACTCAGAACATACCAAAGGGACATTGAAGAATTTGCAGATTTAGCCAAAATATCAACTTTATGCATAATCTGGATAGCTGAAGAATTCAAAACTAAAGGCATTGAAAACCTATTTAACAAAGTAATAACAGAAAACTTCCCCAATCTCAAGAGAAAGAATCTCAACCACCTAACAGAAGCATACAGAACTCCTAGCAGACAGGATCTGAGGAGAAATAACTCTAGACACATTATAGTGAAAACCTTGGACAAGAAATTAATTTTAAATGCAGCAAAATCAAAGAAAGAACTTTATTACAATGGAAAGAAAATTAGAATTACTACAGATCTCTCCATACCAACTCTCAGTGCAAGGAGAGCCTGGAATGGTATTATTCAGGCTCTGAACAATACAATTGCCTACCCAAACTGGTATACCCAGTTAAGTTAATATTCACAATTAACAGGGCAACTAAAACCTTTCATGAAAAAACGAAATTAAGGAATTCATAAATACTAAATAAGCACTACAACAGATACTAAAGGGAAGCATACAATCTGAAGAATCAAAGTCAAGGAATCACAACATTGAACAAGTATCAGAAGACTAGGTTAGTAAACACAAGAGGAAAAAAAAGCATGCTATAGGGAAACAAAATGGCAAGAAACATGACATATTTTCCATCATAATATTAAACATCAAAGGGCTCAACTCACCAATGAAAAGATGTAGAGCAGCCAAGTGAATCCAAAAACAAAATCCAACCCTTTGTTGTCTCCAGATACAAGAAGCCCAAGAAATCAACCTCACCCAAAGCTAACAAATGAATAAAGAGCTAAGGAGAGACTTCTCTGAAGAAGAGGTAAGACTGGCAAAGAAACCAGGCACAGGAGGCTCAAGCCTGTAATCCTAGTTTCTCAGGGGGCTGAGATGTGAGGATTGTGGTTCGAAGCCATCCCAGGCAGAAAAGTCCCCATGAGATCTTATCTCTAATTAACCACTCAAAAACCTAAAGTGAAACTGCGGCTCAAGTGGTAGAGCACCAGCCTTGAGCACAAAGAGGCTCAGGACAGCACCCAGGCTCTGACTTCAACTGACAAAAAATAAGAATGGCAAAAAAATACATGAGGAAATGCTCATCATCCCTGGTCATAAAGGAAAGCAAAACAACTATAAGACTCCATCTCACTCCAGTTAGATTGGCTAACATTGAACAACAATGAGTGCTGGCAGAGATACGGGGGGGGGGGGGGGGGGGGGGGGGGGGGGGGGGGGGAAGGAACCCTATTGAACTGCTCATAGGAATGTAAACTAGCACAATCACGGCAGTCTAGAGATTCCTCAGAAAACTAAACATAGATCTTCTTCCCTACAATCCAGCCATACCACTCCTGGGCACCTACCTAGAACATCACAAGCCAGAATACCCGTAAAGACACTTGCAATCCATGTTCAATGCTACTATTCACAATAGCCAGGTTTGGAAATAACCTATACCTTACAATAAATGAGTTGATGTAAAAAAATGTAGTACTTATACACAATGGAATTGTATACAGCCAGTAGAAATAATACTATTATGTCACTTGCACGGAAATGGATGGACCTAGAACAAATTGTGTTAAGTGAAGTAAGCCAAGCTCAGAGAGACAAATGACACATTTTCTCTCGTACATGAAAGCTAGATCTAAAATACACTGGGACATAATCAATTCTACATGACTTTCGCATTTACACACAGTGAGACCAAAAGAGGAACACAAAGGTGCAATGCCTATATGCTTCTGATCATACAAAATAATATTTATCAAAATGAACTCTAGGAAATGAAAACAAGATTTTTTTTTCTTTTTTTCTCTTATTTTCTTTTCTTTTGTTCTGTTTGTTTATATGTCTTTGGGAGTGTAGGGGAGCTATAGAAATGGAGGGACACAGTGTGAACAAATGCAGCAACAGTACTCACTGTACACTATGTTGAAAATGAACTATACAACTTGTGGGTGAGCACAGGAGGGAAAAACTGGGAGAGAGCAAGGAAAGGGGTAACATTGTCCAAAAAGAAATGTATTATTTACCTGACTTATATAACTGTAACCCTCTGTACATCATCTTTGTAGTAACAATAAAAAAAAAATTTTAAACTAGCACTTGTTTCTTTAATTTGTAACAAAGCCTTATTGACAGGTTCAAACAGCAAATCCTCTTTTGCAACCCAGAGCTCATTGTTGAGAATGAAATTTTGAAACACATAAGAAGGAATATGATTCCTACATTAGTTGGCAATGCAGGGGCAGGGGTGGGGGGTTGTTAATTCATACAGGTTGGCTCTGAGAATGAAGTCAAAGTAAAAACTAAACAAAAAAAATATACATATTTGCCAGGTACAGGTTACATCTGTAATCCTAGCTACTCTGAAGACTGAAATCTGAGAGCTGTTGTTTGAACAAAACCAAACCCAATGGAAATCCATGAGACTCTTATCTCCTGTTAATTAACGAAATGCCAGAATTAGCAGTGTGACTCAAGTGGTAGAATCCTGGCCTTGAGCAAAAAAAAACAATCAAGAGCACAAGATCCTCAGTTTAAGCCCCAGTACCAGCACACACATTTTTAAAAAGTAGGTCCAGGCACCAGTGGCAAATACCTCTAATCCTAGCTATTCAAGAGGCTGAGATGTTAAGATTATGGTTTGGAACCAGCCCAGGCAGTAAAGTCTGAGAAACTTCTTATCTCCAGTGAACCACCAAAAAGCAAGAAATAGAGCTAGAGAAATAAGCTGGGTGCCTGTGGCTCACGCCTGTAATCCTAGCTACTCAGGAGGCTGAGATCTGAGGATCACGGTTCAAAGCCAGCCCAGGCAGGAAACTCCGTGAGACTCTTATCTCCAATAAACCACTAGAAAACCGGCAGTGGTGCTGTGGCTCAAGAAGTAGAGCGCTCACCTTGAGCTGAAGAGCTGAGGGATAGCACCCAAGCCCAGAGTTGAAGCCCCACAACCGACAAAAAAGAAAAAAAGAAATAGAGAAATAGAGAGCTAGCCTTCAGGGGGAAAAAATATTAAAGAAGAGTGTCCAGGCCCTGAGTTCAAACCCCACAAACACACACACAAAAAAAAAGTACATTTCCCTTTTAGGGTTCACCACACTAACATCTACATTAAAAGTCCCAACTTCCAATTTTACCTAAAATATCACTAGATCTGCTCATGGCTGTGAACCTGCTGCACTGTTTTCAAAAAATTATAATAAACTGTTATATAAACAAAGAGGCATTAGGCACCAGTGGCTCATAGCTGTAATCCTACATACTCAGGAGGCTGAGATCTGAGGATCCCAGTTCAAAGCCAGCCTGGGCAGGAAAGTCCATGAAACTCTTATTTCCAATGAACCACCAAAAAAAACCAGAAGTGATAGTATGGTGGAGCACTAGCCTTGAGCTGAAGAACTCAGGGACAGCACCCAGGCCCAGAGTTCAATCCCTACAACTGACCAAAAAAAAAAAAAAAAGGCTAATTTCTCTTTGCCATGTATCTCTACCATATATCTCTTTTTTTTTTTATTTTATTCTACCATGTATCTCTTTAAAAACTTTTTATTTATCTATTTCTTTTGAAACAGAGTCTCATTAGGTAGCCCAAAATCTTTAATTCAAAATCTTCCTGCAATAGCCTTCTTAATACTGGGAGTACAGATATGTAGTACCATATCAATGAAGTTTATCCTGCCATCAACCTCAAACCTGTTTATAAAGCTAGACTTAATCTTTAGTCTCGAATAAATTCACAACGTGCTAGGCAAGTACCTTAAGCTAGGACTAAAATCTTTTTGAGCCCCATTCTTTTCCCCTAATTATCAAAACCTCTATGTTCCCTATTTATCTTAATTTTCCTCATCACATTACTATTTAGGCCAAGTACTATTTAATACTGTATTTAAGCAAGACCTTTTATCTTTATCTTCCATTAAACCTAGTACAAATTATTTCAAATATTCTTTTTCTAATCAGTGTCTGTCTCTCTGATTACCTCTGTCTGCCTCCCTCTGCTTATCTGTACCTCCTTCCCTCTCTTCTTTTGCTCCCTTCCCTCCCTCCTTCTTTTCCCTCACTCCAATCAGACTCACTGTTGCCCTTAAATGGAATTTTCTATACTTAGATGATTTATAACTCTCTACACAATCCCCTTCAATTTTCATTTTTATTGTTTTTAAATAATGAAAGAGAGCCTGGGATGATAAAATCCCTACATCCTCCTTAAAAATAACTTTTCTTAATTAGGAACAGAAATGCAAAAACACAAAATGCCTTTTTTTTCCCACAAAAATGTCTTCATAAATGTCCTGCAAACAGTTTGCACTGCTCAGTATTTCTTCTCTTTTAAAGTTAATCTTAGAAGCATTACAAATGATAAGACTTCATAAATCAATTGATAAGCTGTCAACATTATGCTAATAACTAATATAAGCATTCTTAAACTACAGAAACTATAAATCAAAGTTTTGAGGCATAATCTTTACAATAGTTACTTCATACAGCTTTTTCAAAAACTCAATTAATATAATTGTACTAGGTAATACGTAAAAATAAGCACATTTCTCAAACATATTACAATTTAAGCTGGCTCTCAGAAACATTGTAATACCTTAAAAATTACACAAACTGAATTATATACCTTATGTTTTCCTTGAAGATTCATAGCTAAGCATAAGTTACATTTCAAACAGTGGAAAAAATCTTCTTTCGGACCAATCCTAATAAAACATGTGAAAGCCAGATGGTTAAATTCTTACTACATTGATATTTGCTAATTTTACAATATCTAAATTCAGTTCAAGCACAAAAAAAATTTCAAATCATTGCTCATGTAACTGTAACCCCTCTGTACAGTACGTTCACAATAAAAAACTTAATTAAAAAAGTTTCAAACCACAATGAAGAACTACCCTATTCAATGTCCCTCTAAAGCAAGCAGTGAAAACAAAATGGTATCTATTCTACTGAAGGTTTTTCCCCTATAAAAATGCATATAGAGAGGAAGAGGGAAAAAAAGGGGGCAGTGCTGTAGTCCTTCATGAGTAATTCCTTTCCATGTATACTGTACTGTAACTTTTTTACTTAAAAGTATATACTAAGGATAACTTTATATCTATCTATGCAAAACAATCCTTTTATTTTGTTCTGGTTTTGTGGCTTGAACTCAGGGCCTTGCACTCTTGACTTTTTCACTCATGCTGAGGCTCTATCATTTGAGTCACACCTCCACTTCAACCTTCTTTCTAGTTAATTGGAAACAAGTCTGGATTTGCCTGTTCAGACTAGCTTCAAACCTTGATCCTCAGATCTCAGGCTCCAGAGTGGCTAGAATTACAGACATGAACTACCAGTGCCCAGCCACTGTATTTTCTTTCTACCTCCACATTATTAATGTAATATGGATATATCATAATTTTAAAGATCCTTTTATTGATATGATCAACAATCTTGATAAATCACATTTTGATTACTTTTATAAGAATCCTAAACGGTGCCTGTGGCTCATGCCTGTAATGCTAGCTAATCAGGAGACTGAGATCTGAGAATCATGTTTTGAAACCAGCCTGGGACAGAAAGTCCATGAGACTCTTATCTCCAATAAACTACTCAGAAAAAGCAGAAAGTGGTCTATGGCTCAAGTGGTAGAGTGCTAGCCTTGAGCACAAACAGGCTCAGGGACAGCACCTAGGCCCAGCATTCAAGCCCCAAGACTGGTGGGGGAAAAAAGATTTCTAAAAGTGAAACACATGAGTCAGAAGATATTGGATTATGACACTGACAAACTAGTGTCCAAAAAGACTACTAATTTACATTCCTACTAATAGTGCACAACAGTATCCTTTTTCTCCATAATCTGGTTAACTCCAGTTATACATATGACAGATGAAATATGCTACTTCAATTTACATTTCCCAACTTCTACGAAGGATATTCTCAAATACTTATAAATCACTTAAGATTTATTCTGTGGATTATGTTGATAAGCTCTGCCCAGCTTTTTCCTGAGGTACTTATCTTTTTCCAAGGTAAAGAAAATCTTTATATAGCCTGGATATTAAATATTTTTCATTTGTATGTTACACTTTTCTTGCTAGTCATTTCTCTTTACTTATATAATGCTATTTTTTAATTCCTGTGTTCTAGCTCAAGACTCTGTGCATGGAACTCTTCTGACTCAGAGTAAGGAAGATTGGTTTCAGAAGCTATTGAAGGTGATAAAGCACAGCCCAGTGTTTGTGGCAATCTCTAATGACAATCATTCTGATCTTTAAGAATGAACATAGGATCAACAGTATATCTATCTTCTTGCTCTGAGAAGACCATCATTGGTTGTAGAAAGGAGATAGAGAAGATAGACCAATTGGAATAATACTAGGTATTGACTTATGCAGAGTGGTTGTTTAAGGTAGTTATATGGAGTTAAACTTTATAGAAAAGGTTAATAGGAAGATGGCCTGAAATAGCAGAAAAAAAATCTAGTCAATGTCCTAGTGTGTGTAGGGAAGAGGGAGATAAAGTAAGGAATGTTGAGTAAATATACACACATAAATTTAAAAATTAAACATCAAAGTCCGGCGCCTGTGGCTCACGCCTGTAATCCTAGCTACGCAGGAGGCTGAGATCTGAGGATCGTGGTTCAAAGCCAGCCCAGGCAGGAAAGTCTGTGAGACTCTTATCTCCAATAAACCACTAGAAAAGTGGAAGTGGCACTGTAGCTCACAAAGTAGAGCGCTCGCCTTGAGCTGAAGAGTGCAGGGACAGCGCCCAAGCCCAGAGTTCAAGCCCCACAACCGACAAAAAAAAAAAAACAAAAATTAAACATCAATACAAATTGAAATGGGAGAAAGTCTATGCTAGAAAGTAGAAGTTAGGAAAGTAACTGGCTGTTGCTGACCGGTTTACAGAAAAGACAACCATAATTAAATGAAGAAAACAACCAATCAAGCAAAAATAGTAACATATGCATTTTTAAAATTTTTCTTCTATGTGTTCATGTGTAAAAGAGTTCTCTGCAGTGTGCAAGAGGCTGCTTTAAATGATGTGAGAGCTTTGCTTACATAGAGCCATGGGGAAGCCCCTAAAAGTTCTAGCTATAGCTGATGGTAGTAGACTCCAGAAAGGCTAAAGTCTCTCTCTATAGACTGACAGATGATGAGTCCCAAGGCTGTTTCCTGCAGGGATCTGGAGTGCCAGGCTTTTTGAGGTGCCACCTTACTTTCCTCTGCTGTGAAAACTACAGCTACCAGCCCAGGTACAGCTTGGCGGCAAGTCCCACAATTGCCCCTGGCTTTCTGAGACAAAACAGTTCTTTCTGAAGTAGGACTTACAGCCACTACCCAGGCCATCTGCTATCTGGTTGGGCAGAAATCCCAATCCTCCATGTCCCCATACTGCCTCTCCGCTTCTCCAGTCTCTGGCTTCTATGCTAGCCACACAGCCTTCTGATGCTGACATTTTCCTGCTGGTCCCTGTTGGCAACTCTGCCCTACACACACATACTGCTTCTTTGTAGCCATTTCTAGTTTTCCTTGAGCACAGTTTATCTCTAATGGTAAATAAATAAGAATAGCAGGAAATTTTAAACAAAATAAGATGTAAATGTAAAGAGGCAGAGGGACACTCTGGAGTTTATCTACCTACTTGCGATTGACATTTTGTACCAGATCATTCTTATGGAAAGGAACTATCCTTACATAACTTAGGGCTGTATGTGTGTTGATCTTAAGGCTTGAACTCAGGGCCCAGGTGCTATCCCTGAGCTTTTTTGCTAGCACTCCACACTTGAGCCATAGCTCCACTTCCAACTTTTTTGGTAGTTAACTGGGGAGAAGAGTCTCATTGACGTTCCTGCCCCACAATCCTCAGAGTAGATAGCATTATAGGTATAAGCCACCAGCACCTACCTATGTTAAAACTTTGAACAGCTCTTAAGACTTTTAACAGGATCCTCAGCCTCTATCCAGTAAATGCTAGTGTTCAGATATTGCCAACTATTCTTTGGATTCTAATGCTCATGGTGAAACTGATCAGGTTATAATTTTTATATGAAGATATACTAGATGAATAGTCTCACTCAAGACAGGAAATGGGGTAAAGGGTATATTCTTCAGTGGCAGAGTACTTGTCTAACATCCCATAATTAGAGAGAGAGGGAAGTGAGTGAAGGAGAGGGACAATAATATACTCTTTTCCCGCCCAGTCCTAGGGCTTGAATTCAGGGCCTGGGCACTGTCCTTGAGCTTGCTCAAGGCTAGTACTCTATCACTTGAGCCACAGCGCCACTTCTGGCTTTTTTTTTTTCTGCTTATGTGGTACTTGGGAATGGAATCCAGAGCTTCATGCATGCTAGGCAAGCACTCTACCACTAAGCTACATTTTCAGCCCATACTCTTAGGAACAAAAAGAAACCATGGTATCTTCTAGTTACTCATTTAATAAGAAAGCTACAAATCATAGTAGAAATGACTTCATGTTATAGTTTCTAACTATAGTAACTTAGACTACCTCATTTTGTTAAGATGTGTGAAAATATTTCCACATCTTTTATGATGACTGTACACCAACATTTACTTAATATAGCTCCCAAGTGATCAAATATTAAAGAAAGGTATGTACATAAAAGCATTTAGAAGGAAACAATGAAAAAATGACAAAGTTCAAATAAAATGTTTTGCAATTGTGGCACAAAGATCCATATTTTATATGGATATAAATAGATTTTATATCACAAAGTTAAGCATATTTTATATTCCAAGTACATTTTGTATTTACTACAAAAGTAGGCATGAGAAATCTCTTAAAACAATGTAACATATATAGATACAGATATTAAAACAATGCATAAGACACTTAAAATGAATGCATTTTATCAGATGTAAAGCTTATTCTAATAAAGTTGATTTTTTTAAATATTATTGCTCAGGTACATCAGAAGTTATTAGAACATTGTATATACAGTACCTACAAATTCCACAGTTTTCACAATGATACTGCTTCTTATCTTTGTCAAACAGATGGCATATACTGCAATAATATTCTCCAAATAATGTGCTACATTCTTCACAAGTCTGTTGGGCCTAAAAAGGACACAGTTTTTAAAAGTTGGAATAACTTTACCAAAATACTTTTAATATTTGAATATCCAGAACTAATGTTAAAGTAAACTTTCATTGTTTTTACAAGTTTTTAAACATTTACAAAGTTATTCCTTACTTTACAAGTTAGGTTCTCAGTTGAAACTTCTAATAATTTGTTTTCAATCCATATTAATAAAAATGTTTTAAGAAAAAACAGAACTGGAGATGTGACTCAAGTGATAGAACACCATCAGAGCAAGCAAGCTGACTAAGAGCACACACACAAAAAAGAAGAAAGGATATGTCATAAAACCTTACATGTTGAATTTTTTCACAGTTGATACACTGCACTTCCTTTACTTTAAAACGATCTAGCTGGTGATCTTCATTGTTATCATGACACAACCGGCAAGTATAAAGCTTGTCACAACAAGGAGCCTGTAACACCAAAGGAGGAAGAAAGACATTAGAAGCAAGAGAAGACACGTCAACTGTGCACAAAGAAAACAACTTCTTTCTGGAATAGCCACAGATTTCCATCAATGGATCAGTTGTTATATGTCGCTGTTTGTTGTTGTATTTGATGTTTACTAGTCCCTTCAACATCTATATGTTTGGATGACATAAAGCACCATCTTAAAATAGGAGAATTAAGAAGGCTAGAAATTCCTCAACTGAAAACTAATCCCACTAATCTCACTTTCAGACTATATAGTAAGCAACCCCTTCTTACACATTTCTAAATAAATTTACATAGCTCAACCTCTTAACATAAGTCATTTCAGTAGTACTTAATCAACAACTAAATAAGAGACAGCATTTTTTGAGAATGACAAAAATGCCAGTTGTCCACCAAAATTTGTTCTCTCCTCAGTACCACAATTGTCCAGCTACACTACAGCTGCTCTAACAACATGGCAAAATAATACAATGGAAAAAGCTGGTCCTTAGAATGGCTATGTAGAATGATGACCCAACATCAATCTGGATCAATCACTTTGGAATTACTAAGTAGATAGAAATAAGCTATTTTTCATAAGCTATTTTTCATACTTTTTTTATTATCTATCTTTAAGAAGTTGTATAAAAGCCAGGCACCAGTGGCTCACGCCTCTAATCATAGCTACTCTAGAAGCTGAGGATTGTACTTCCATTGTCAGCTGGGCTGAAAAAATCCCAGTGAACTCATATCTCCAATTAACCACCAGAAAAGTGGTGCTGTAGCTCAAAATGGTAGAGTGGTATCCTTGAGCAAAAGAGCTCAAGAACAGCACCAGGCCCTGACAGGAGTTTCTATTTAACAAGCAGTTTATGAATACACTATATCTCTCCCCTTGCAACATTCTCACCCATTCCTCCAAACTCACTACTTCCCTCAATTTTCTTACTTTTGTATGATTTACCTTGAATTCTTGACTATCTCTCCCTCCTTTCTCCACTTCATTTGTCCACCCCCTCCTTGACCCCACCCCACCTCTTTCATATACCCATTTCCTGACATTTACTTTGTTGAATTTTGACTTTGCCTTTTTAAGGAATTACAGTATTTGAGACTTAAATTTCAGTTAATATAACATTATATATTCTTGCATACCACCCAATGTATTTACTTATACGTTTACAAGCTAATTCTAGCTTCCATACATGCATCCTTTGTCTTTCTGGACCTAAATTACTTCACTTAACATAATTTTTTACAGGTCTTTTCATTTCTTTATAAATGATACAATATTATTCTTTCTAATGGATGAGTAAAGTTCCACAGTGTATATATTCCACATTTTCTTGATCCATTCATCCATTGAGGGGCATCTGGGCTGATTCCATACCTTGGCTATGGTGAACAGTGCTGAAATACGTTATTTTTAAAACCTCATTAGGAGTGGGAATGTGGCTTAGTGGTAGAGTGCTTGCCTAGCATCCATGAAGCTCTGGATTCAATTCCTCAGAACCACATAAACAGAAAAAGCCAGAAGTGGTGCTGTGGCTCTAGTGGCAGAGTGCTAGCCTTGAGCAAAAAGAAGCTCAGGGACAGGACCTAGGCCCTGAGTTTAAGTCCCAGAACTGCCAAAAAATAAAATAAAACCTCATTATTGGTAAATCTTTTTATTACTAAAACCTTACCCCAACTAGAATATCAGGAAATTGCAGACTAGTGGGACTTCCTAGTCAACACTTCCTAGTCAAACATTATGATCTTGCAAATCCACATATATCTGAAGGGTTCCTAAGCCATGATTTAATACCACAGTTCATAACTTACAGAGTTTAACAAAATACCAGCTTATCTTTTTTCCAACAATATCACTGTCTTAAACATTAGAGATCTGTATATCCAGAATAATCCTTTCAGTAGCCTGAACTCAATTTCTTGACTTTTTCAGTCTTAATGGTATTATTCTCCAACCTTCCTCAGTCACATACTCTCATTATCACACCACAGAACAGTGGTTCACATTGTCTCTGGACCTTTCTATTCTTAAAAATGAAGGATCCCTTGCCAGGACAGGGGCTTATGTCTATAATTTTAGATACTCAGTAATCAGCCCAAGCATACAAATATGAGACTCTAATCTCCAATTCACCAAGAAAAAGCCAGAGACTTTTGAGCCAGAGGCTCAAGTGGTAAGAGTTCTAGCCTTTAGGGGAAAAAAAAAAAACAAAAACTAAGAGATAACATCTAGGACCTGAGTTCAAGCTCTAATAGCAGCACAAAAAATTAAATAAGGACTTCAAAGACCTGTTGTTTATGTAGTATATATATATATACATATATATTGCTATATACCATTTTATAAATCATTGATGTTTTTAGAAAAGAGAGTATTTTAGTAGCTTTTCAGAGAATTATGGATATTTTCTGTCATACACTAAAATGTAAACCCAACAGTCTGAATTCATTCCACTGAAATTTTCTTCCACTGTTCCATTCAAGTCCATTCATCTATCTCGCACTTGGAATGCATCTATTATCCACGTATTATTTATTTGGAAAATGCCAGTTCCCTTAATTATATACATCTTTCAAATGCTCACACATTTGATATGCAACCAAAAAAAAATCATGTTAGAGTAGGTATTGGGAAGCTTTAGAGCTCACAAAAGTTTTCCAAAATTTAGTTTTTGCACAAAATATTAAAGATATTAAAAAGGCATGCATGTGTGCTCGCTTCAGCAGCACATATACTAAAATTCAAATAATACAGAGAAGATTAGCAAGGCCCCTGCGCAAGGATGACACACAAATTCATGAAGCATTGCATATTTTTTTAAGGCATGTGTGTAAGAGTTAAGATTTGATAAAAATCAATGATTTCATTGCTTCACTGATGACATTTTTAATTAAACTGGCTTTAAAATGAACTACATAGTTTAATTCAATTAGCAGAAAACTGGTGCCTCAATTCATGCACAGCTACTAGCAGTTTTTATCGTGTTATCCAGAATCAGTGCAAATGTCAACACAATTTCTGGAAAGTAGTTTTGACCTAACAGACACAAAAACTCCTAGAGGTCATGACTCTAGGGCCCACTCATGACACTTTGTGAACTGCCGCTCCAAAGCAGGCTGCACCTTTTTTTTTTTTTTTTTATAATATCTCAACTCCAAGCATAAAGTTCTCTAATCACTAAATTTCCTCTTTCCGACTAACTCCAAGCCTTCCCTTTCTTTCTTTTCTTTTTTTTTGGGGGGGGGGGGGGGAGGGCGGGGGGGGGGGGGCCGATCCTGGGGCTTGAACTCAGGGCCAGGCTCTGTCCCTGAGACAGACTGTATTCAAGGCTAGCACTCTAGCACTTGAGCCATGGGTAACTTCTGGCTTTTTCTGAAGTAGTTTATTGGAGACAGGAGTCTCATGAACTCTCCTGCCTAGGGTGGCTTTGAACTGCAATACTCAGATCACAGCCACCAGCTGAGCCATCAGCCCTAGCTCAAGTCTTCCCTTTCATATATCATACTTCCTCCTCTCTCCCTCTGCATATACTCACTTACCAAAATCCCATCCCTGGTTAAACTAATTCTTCCCTTTCATATACCGTCCTTCCTCTTCTCTCCCTCTACATATACTCACTACCAAAATTCCATCCCTGGTTGAACCAACTCTCTTCCTATCAACTGGAGGGGCAGGGAGGCCACCATACTGTTAGATCTTACTATTAAGTGATAACCACTCATAAAAAGTAGACTCATTACAATTCCTTAGTCAATTCCCTCATTTTTCTACAGTCTAAGATGTAAGATCTGGATGATCACTTCACTTCTTCCTTCTTTAAGACTCTAACATCTCTTCCTAACACTTTGACCTATCTTGCTTGCCTATCAAAATTGAAAAATCAAAAGAAAAACTCTTCCCACAAATATGGATCTACTTGCAAATATACTTCATCCCCTACATTCTCTTCTTTTACAAAGAACTAGTTGGCCCTTTCTTGTATCTAAGGACAATTTCTCCACTTGGACATTGGACCTCACCCCTTTGACTATTCATGGGCAGTTACCCTACCCCTAGTTTTCCCTGTTCCTCCTGCATTACAACATGCTCTCACTCTATCGGATCATTTCCAAGAATACGGAAACGCACTGAAACACCTATCTTAAGGAAAAGGAGGGATAATCTCATGATCCTCCATCTTTCAGCAATGATGTCATTTTTTTTTCTTCCTTTACACTGAAACTCCAAAAATTTGTAAGTGCTAAGCCACAATTCACTCCAATCAGGCTTTAGCTGATCTCTCCTCTGACCCTTGTCAAGATCACTAGTAACTCTCCTTGCCAAATCCAATGGTCAGTTCTCAGTTCATGAACAGCTGCACAGCTGCATTTGATCTACTTATCACTTCCTCCTTGCAATTTTTCACTTGGCTGAAGAAGGGGCAGGAGAGAAATCAGAAAAGTGACAGTCAGGGACATGAGTCAACATGCTATGAAACAGATTTAGTTGAATGGGGTTTGTTTTGTTTGGTGTGCATGTTTTTTTTTTTCTTCTCTGGAGGGGAAAAGGAAAGCAAGATGTTAAATTCAGTTTCAGACCTCAAGTTTAAGGGTGTAAGGATAGCATTCAATCCTTTTTTTTTTTTTTTTTTTTTTTTGGGGGGGGGGTGGTCGTGGGGCCTGAACTCTGGGCCTGGGCACTGTCCCTGCACTCTTCAGCTCAAGGCTAGCACTCTATCACTTGAGCCACAGCGCCACTTCCAGTTTTCTGGTGGTTAATTGGTGACGAGTCTCACAGACTTTCCTGAGTGGGCTGGCTTTGAACTGCGATTCTCAGATCTCAGCCTCCTGAGTAGCTAAGATTACAGGCATGAGCCACCCGGATCAATCCTAATTCTTTACACATTTGGCGAATGACCAACTTCGAAAGAGCTTCATGCAAGTGCAGTGAAGCAATCAATGCTCACCAAGCCCTGGCCTACAGAAAGAAAAAAAAAAATTAGACTGTGATTACAGGCCTGAGATTACCACTTCTAATTAGTAAAGACCAGTGACTAGTAAATGGGAGACAACAACAACAAAAAAAAAATCAGGATGATGATGGTGATGGTTGTAATTAACATTTACTACTACTCATGGGTACCTGCTAAACAGTACAAATGGATTTTCGTGTGCAATCCTATTTTTGTGAAATAGGAATTTCAGGGGTCCCAATTTTACATATGGGGCGCTGAAACAGTCGCTTGTTCAAAAATCAAATAACTATTAAAGAGCAGGTCTAAGATTTGAGGATAGGGCTTAAGGATTCCAAAACCCAAGCTTGCTGGTTTTCTTTTGGGGGGAGAATGATGGGCTGCTGGGAAATAAAGCCAGGACATCCTAAATCTTTAGCATACTCGCGAAATACAACCCAACCCAAATCTCAGGCTTTGCGAGCAAATCTTTATACTGCTTCTTGAAAGGGAAAAAAAAAAAAAAAGCAGGAAACTTTAAATGGATGAGGGCCCATTAGCACCCTAGATTGACTAGGAAATGCTGTCAAAAGAAGCAACAAAACACATATATACCAGACATTCTTCTAATTTAATGACAGTTACATTACGGTCTTCCATTTCACTCACACAGTTTTCTCCTTGACAGGTCTGGACATATGCACTGATTCAACTGAAAACTGGCAGAGATTGTAAGATTTGTGGACTACAGGCGCTGAAATTGTTTTCCTAGTCTCCATTACTTCATCAACTCTCTGAAAGCAATCCTACAGAAAGGCCGGGCTCTACCACAACTCCCTTGCAGTAGCAGCCGGCGAACGAACCGATAAAAAGTGACTTTGTGCGTGCCCAAGCTCGGGCCCAACAAGGCTTCGCTAGCAAAGGCAGGAGGAGCCCCAAGGCTCTGGGTCAGAGGACCCCGGTTCCAGATGGGGAAGGGACCCTAACAGCTTGGCCTCGCTAAACCCACGCCTAACCACCTGGCCCGGTCCTCCCGCCGCCGGGCCCGGAAGGGAGCGGGCGGGACAGGGCCCAGGGCAGTCGTCACCTTCAGGAGACATCCTCTGTCATAGTGCTCGCAGCCCCGAGGCCCGCGCTCCTGGCTGCCGACGCCATCTTCCCGCGTCGCCGCCGCCATCGCCTCCACCTCCCCTCACGTTCCACAGACCCTTCCCCCAGGTTGAAAACCACGCCCGGAGGAAGCAGCGCGGCTCTAAACCCCCGCCTGGGCCTCGGCTCCCCTCCGCCTCCCCCTCCACCTCCGCCGCCACGGCGCCGCCGCCACCCCGGCCGGAATGGCCGCGGAGCACGTGACCCGGGGCGACCGGATATCCGGTTCCCGGGGCGACGAGGCGGAAGTGGCAGAAGACGCCAATCTCCGTGGTCGCTGCGAACGGTAATAACTCTTTAAGTTGGTTCTTCTTTCACCAGCATCGCTGCCATCCCGGATCCCGGAGCGTGGGTGTTTTCGGGACGAGGAGGAGATGCCCGACGACCTCTTACGGAAGTGTGGGTCTGACCGCTACGGCCGGGAGACTGACGGCCCCACCCCGCCTCGGCGCCGGAAGAAAAGGGGCGGAGCCTGGCCGGCAGGGCCGGCCGCCCTGCGGGCCTGCAGCCTGCCACCAGCCTCCCATTCACCACCCATTCACGACGCAGTCCCCCGGTCAAAGTATACCCTAACCTTTACCCATCAACTCAGCCGTGAGGACAAGAAGTGAGGGGGGAAAATTGAATGCTTTCCATACTCTATGAAACTCACATTAATCAGAGAACTCACAGCAGTAAATGTTAAGATTACAGCTGGGATTAATGCTCATAAAGACCAGTGTATTCGGAGAGAACCGATACTAGAAGGGATCTGACCCATCTTAAGTGTCAGGGAAAAGTTTCCCCGGGGACAGCAGACACTTGAGCTGAAAGATGAGCCTCAGATGGTATGCCTCAAGGAGTTAGTGCACCCAGTCCTGTCACAAAGAGAATCTACTACCTGGAGATGGAAGAGAAATGCACTACAAAATTGAAATCTTAGACCTCAAGGTGCATAGCCAAATATGTCCTTAGGAAATTCTATGGGCTAAACTACAAGTGTTGGTAGAAAATGCTTGTCTTTGGCTTTAGCTTTGAGGTTACTAACAGTTTCCTATTTTAATTTTCTTTCAGCTCTGTTATGAGTTGCTAAAACCATGGTGAAATGTTGTTCGGCCATTGGGTGTGCTTCCCGCTGTTTGCCAAATTCCAAGTTAAAAGGACTGACATTTCATGTGTAAGACTTTGCTGTAATTAAGCCAAGAACTTTTAACTCTCATAAAAAGTGAACAGTTCTGCTAAACTCTTCAGCTTTGAACTTAAGTTCTCAAGTACTTTTTGTTGTTGTTGGTCATGGAGCTCAAACTCGAGGTTTAGGCACTGTCCCTGAGCTAGTGCCCTATTTTAGTGCCCTATCACTTTGAGCCACAGCACCACTTATGGTTTTTCTGGTAGTTAATTGGAAATAAGAGTCTCACACACTTTCCTGCCTGTCCTGGCTTTGAACTGGGATCCTCAGATCTCAGCCTCTTGAGTACCTATGATTACAGGTATGAGCAACTAGCTCCCAGCCTCAAGTACTTTATAAATTTGTTTAATTTGTTAAATTTCTGTTTTATTTTATTTTGTTAATTTATTTTTTAATTTTTTTATTATCTTTAAGTAGTTGTACAAAGAAGTTCCATTCAACAAATTCTTTGTTAAATTTCAAGTGACAATGATACTTTTTTTTTTTTTGGGTGGTCTTGGGGCTTGAACTCTGGGCTTGGGCACTTTCCCTCAGCTCTTCAGCTCAAGGCAAGCGCTCTACCAGTGGGAGCCACAGCTCTACTTCCGGTTTTCTAGTGGTTTATTGAAGATAAGAGTCTCATGGCCTTTCATGCCCGGGCTGGCTTTGAACCATGATCCTCAGATCTCAGACTCCTGAGTAGCTAGGATTACAGGCATGAGTCACCGGGGCCCAGTTACAATGATACTTTTATGTGTGTAGTTTTTAAGATTCCAGACAAGTAATCAAAGACTAGTAGCAACAAAAGGCAAACTCCGGGCTGGGTAGGGTAGTTTATACCTATAATCCCAACTGTTAAGTTGACAAAGCTGAGGAAGATGGTGGTTAATGAGTCTCCAAGATGTTGGCATGTGCCTTGTCATTACCAACCAGATGGGAGGTCTAAGTTGGAGGACCTCAGTCAGGCCTGGTAGGACAAAATAAGCTAGACCCTACTTGAAAAGTAATTGACTGGAGATGTCACTCAAGTGGTAGAGCACATGCCTAGCAAACCTGATGGCTTGAGTTCAAACTCAAGTACCCCCTCTAAAAAAAATCTTTTTTTTTGCTATCATTATTACTTTGTATTTTTACATTGTATCTTCTTTCTTGAGAAAACAGTGTTGTTTACACACACACACATATTGCAATCTGAAGGATCCTTGCTCATATATTTACTTGTCTTTTCTATTTAGAAATGTATCAAGCACATGTTGTAAAATATGAGTTATTTAGCTAAAAACACAGATAAGCCAAGATGTTCCTAATTTAGTATTTTAGCCAGTCCCCTGATAGCCTTAGGAGAGAATAGGATTTATAATTGTTCATTTTTGCTACATATTTTGTACCAAGCACTCTACTATATGATAAAGATCTGCAAGCCACATTGTTAAATATGTGAAATAAAAAATGAGTGTGTATATAATCTACCACATTCCAAAAAAGATTTACACCTGCTTAGAAAATTGAGAAAGGTAATTATTGACCTCCAGATCTTCAAAATAGTTGTGTCCAGAGCTCAGGACTCTGCAGCTCTTGAAGGCATTCATTCACTAGGCATGTCTAACATGCTGTGTATTAACTGCAGCCATCACCTCAGATAAGAAAAAAATCAAATGATAACTTTTGCCATCTGTAGATGAAGGAAACCATTCAATTGTGGATTTTTTTGGGGGGGGAAGGGGGGGGGGAATGGTCCTGGGCCTTAAACTCAGGACCTGAGCAACTGAGCCTCTTTGTGATCAAGGCTAGTGCTCTACCATTTGAGATTCAGTGCCACTTCTGGCTTTTTGTGAGTAGTTTATGGAGATTTGAGTCTCACAGACTTTTCCTGTGCAGGCTGAATTAAAACCACAATCCTCAGATCTCAACCTCCTGAATACTTAGAATTATACGCATGACCTACCAATGCCCAGCTGTGGATTATATTCCTTTTTTTTTTTTTTTTGCCAGTTCAGGGGCTTGATCTCAGGACCTAGGCACTGTCCTGAGCTTTTTTCCCCCAGGGCTAGCACTCTACTGCTTGAGCCACAGCGCCACTTTCGGCTTTCTCTGTTTATGTGGTACTAAGGAATCAAACCCAGGGCTTCATGCATGCTAGGCAAGCACTCTATACCACTAAGCCACATTCCCAGCCCCTGGATTGTATTCTTAAGGTGTGAAATGTCTCTTGGTGATTTCCTTCCATAATATGAAAAGAATTTAAATGTCTAAAGAGTACTTAGCAAAAACACAAAAAGAAATCTGACTTTTAAAACCAAGTTACACAAGAAGGATTTATATTTTTTTTGAATATCACAGTTCCCAAAAGAATCGTTTTAGACCAGTCGTACAAAAAATATTTAATTTACATATATATGAATAGTATCTGGTTTTTAAATATTTAATTTTTTTCTAGATTCCCCACAGATGAAAACATCAAAAGAAAGTGGGTATTAGCAATGAAAAGACTTGATGTGAATGCTGCAGGCATTTGGGAGCCTAAAAAAGGAGACGTTTTGTGTTCGAGACACTTTAAGAAGACAGATTTTGACAGAAGTGCTCCAAATATTAAATTAAAACCTGGAGTCATCCCTTCTATCTTTGATTCCCCATATCACTTACAGGTTTGTTTATCAGATACTACTTACTGTCAATATTTACTTTCTGTGGTACATTGAAGAATCTCCAGCAAGGTACCCTTGGCTATATTTTATTGTTTGTTGACTAGTTTGAAGTGTATTCTTTTAAGCTTTTATATATACAAGTTTTAGTTCTGATGTACAAATATTTTACCAGTAACTGCTCAGAAACATTGGTGCATTACTAAGGTTTTATAAAGTGGATTGACTTTAGGAATTGACATAACAAGATTTGTGTCTAAAAACTGGAGGTGCCAGGAGCCAGTGGCTCATGCCTGTAATCCTAGCTACTCAGAAGGCTGAAATCTGAGGATCACAGTTCAAAGCCAGCCCAGGTAGGAAAGGCCATGAGACTCTTATCTCTAATAAACCACTAGAAAACCAGAAGTGGCACTGTGGCTCAAGTGGTAGAGTGCTAGCCTTGAGCTCAAGAGCTGAGGGACAGCACCCAGGCCCAGAGTTCAAGTGCCATGACCGACAAAAAAAAAAAAAGAAAGAAACTGGAAGTTAACATAAGATTGAACAGAAGTTCTAGAATGCCAGACTTCTTGAGAATTCAAGAGCTAAGGTTCTGATAGGACGAAAATATACTTCTAAGAACAGTCACATGCATACAAGTTTGAAACGTAGTAGGACCAAAAGACAGAAAACTGAAAGAGAAAATATGAGTAAGAAGGAAGAAAAGGGAAGCCGGTGGGTCATGCCTATAATCCTAGCTACTCCAGAGGCTGAGATCTGAGGATTGCAGTTCAAAGCCAGCCTAGGCAGGAAAGTTCATGACTGTTCTCATCTCTAAGTGATAGAGTACCAGCCTTGAATGAAAAAGTTAAGGGCTAGCACTCCAGGCCCTGAATTCAAGCCCTAGTACCATCACAAAAGAGGCCAAAGAAAATAAAATAGAAAGGTTGAATAAGTAAACCCTAGTTGAATTCTTTTTTCTCTCAGTAATAGTGCCATAGATTGGCTGCTTTACCTCAATCTCTCTTTAACTTCATATATCTAAGAATATATTTGCATCCAGCCACTGTAGACGGATTGATGGATTCCAATGTGGAAAACCTAAGGGGAGCCAACATTAAGATCATGTCCTCCTGACAGTTATAAGCACGAGAAGTGGTCTAGAAGTGTACCTACTACAGCTGTCTTTGTCACTCATGCAGTATCTAAGTGATTAAGTCAAGACCACTTCACTTTCTTCCCTATCAGTAAATGTGCAGTTTCTCTGAAATTAGCTTTAAAGGATTCTTTTTCTACCAGTGAAGTGTTTAGCTGTAATGTAAGGAAGATCTTAATAAGTGTGGGCATAACTAAGCAGAACTATTTCCTTACAACAAATTTTTCATTATAAGAACTTGGACAGCCGGGCACCAGTGGTTCACTCCTATAATCCTAGCTACTCAGGAGGCTGAGATCTGAGGATCACAGTTAAAAGCCAGCCCAGGTAGGAAAGGCTATGAGACTCTTGTCTCCAATAACCCACTAGAAAACCAGAAGTGGTGCTGTGGCTCAAGCGGTAGATCACTCACCTTGAGCTGAAGAGCTGAGGGACAGTGCCCAAGCCCCAGAGTTCAAGCCCCATGAATGACCAAAAAAAAAAAAGAACTTGGATAATAGAATTAAAAATAAAATGGGGCTGAGAAGTTGGCTCAGTGGTAGAGCGCTTGCCTTGCATGCCTGAGGCCCTGGGTTCGATTCTTCAGCACCACATAAGCAAAAAGAAAAAAACTGGAAGTGGCGCTGTGGCTCAAGTGGTAGAGCGCTAGCCTTGAGCTGAAGAGCTGAGGTACAGCGCCCAGACCCAGAGTTCAGGCCCCACGATCGGACCCAAAAAAATAAATAAAAATAAAAATAATAGGCCAATACAGAGCTAATACTGTGTGCACTTCCATATACAGCTTTCTAATGATTTGTATGTTTTATATAAATTGATCAATATTTATGTAGACAATTTTATAACATTAAAATTATACTGTATAATCTTTGCCTTAGTTGCTTTTTCAGGTTTTACTTTTTTTTGTTTGCTTTTTTGTTTTTGTCAGTCATGGGGCTTGAATTCTGGGCCTGGGTGCTGTCCCTGAGCTCTTCAGCTCAAGCCTAGCATTCTACTGCTAGCCGTGAGTGCAGCTAGATTTTACATTTTTACATTGATGGTAGTAACTTGCTATGTTTTGGGCATTATAAGCATTGTACACACATAATAGCTCATTATTGAAACAACTATATGAGGTAAATACTCTTCTCATTTTTATTACTTAAGCAGGGTGGGAAGCACCCAGCCCTATGGCCATATAAGCCCTACAAAACCATTCAGTATGTGATAAGACAGACACATATGCTTCCTGATGGCTGCCCATGATCCTCTGTCTGTATTGAAAATTTTGTACGGCCCTCAGACGATGTTATAAATACCCAAATAGCCCTTGCCACAGAAAACAGTTTCTACTCCTGATTTAAGAGGTCTGAGGTCTAGCATACACAGCTATTAATGTCAGAGGCCAGATTCAAATGAGGCCTTTTGACTCCTTAGTCTACAATTAACTACTCCTGTCCATGACATTGAATATTTTTCACAACAATGGCCTACAAATTTTAGGCTATATAAGAATTTATATTAAACCAGGCTCCGGTGACTCACGCCTAGAATCCTACCTACTCAGGAGGCTGAGTGCTGAGGATCACAGTTCAAAGCCAGCCTGGGCAGGAAAATCATGAGACTCTATCTCCAATAAACTACCAGAAAACCAGAAGTGGCACTGTTGCTCAAGTGGTAGAGCATTCAATTTGTGCTGAAGAGCTGAGGCCCAGGCCCCAGAGTTCAAGCCCCACAAACAACAACAAAGAATTTATTTCAGTGTTTATTTAAAAGATAGACTCATGTGCCCCACTCCTTGAGAACTTGCTTGAAGAATGAAGTTGAATTTGATTCCGTTTTGGTCAGAGGCCCGTGCATCTGTACTTCTTATCAAGCAACACATTATCATATTATGTTGCAGCTCTATGAGCCAGACATTTGAGAGAAACCAACCATGGTTTATTATATATACAAGATATAACTTTTTTTTTTTTTTTTTTTGGTCGTGGGACCTGAACTCCAGGCCTAGGTGCTGCCCCTCAGCTCTTCAGCTTAAGGCTAGCACACTACCACTTGAGCCACAGTGCCACTTCCGGCTTTTTCTGCTTATATGGTACTGAGGAACCGAACCCAGGGCTTCAGGCATGCTAAGCAAGCACTCGACCACTAACTGTAACTGCATTTTCAATTGCAGATCAGACTATCCTTTCTCATTATCACTCTTCAATTTGTGTTTCAAAAATGAATTGTAAGCCAGGCGCTAGTGGCTCATGCCTACAAGCCTAGCTACTCAGGAGGCTGAGATCTGAGGATGGTGGTTCAAAGCCAGCCCAGTCAGTAAAGTCCTAGTGAGTCTCTTATCTTCAATAAACTATTCAAAAAAGCCAGAAGTGGCACTGTAGCTCAAGTGGTAGAGCGTCCAGACCCTGAGTTCAAGCTGCAGGACAGGCAAAAAAAAAGTGAACTTTAGGGTTGTTTGGGGAAGATCTCTTAAAGTAATCGAAGTGGCATTTACTAATATCTAAAAGCAATTTCCATGAAAAGAAATGTGCACACAAACATAATAAGGACTAAAAATTTAAGAAAGGATAAAGTATCTCTATGATTTTTACTAAATATTCTTAACAGGAAAAAAGAGAAAAGCTTCACTATAGAAAGAACTTCACCATCAAAACCCTACCAGTCACAAATCACAATCGCCAGGTTGGTGCTCCATCATATACTGAAGAATTCCAATCCCAATTCATTTTTGTAAGTAAAATGACTTATTGAGTTGTTAATACTTTAAGATGAATAATTCTACTCCTTTAGGGTCAAATTTGTAGAAATCTTACAGGAAAAATTACAGATTCAAGTGCTTGAGTTTTTTTTTTTTAATTTGTAATATCTGGAAAAAATACTGCTTTCAAAGTCATTATAATTTATATGAATGCAAAAGCAGTATATAAGTAATTCATCCTTTCAGTTACATATTAGTTTGGAGAATGCTTTCTCAAGGATATGTCTACCATGATAATAGTTAATTCTTCCTAGTAAGAATTATGTTTCTGCTAGGTACCAGTGGCTCACACCTGTAATCCTAGAAACAACTCAGTAATCTGAGATTTGAGGACCACAGTTCAAAATCAGCAGGACAGGAAAGTCCATGAGACTCTTATCTCCAACAAAACACTCAGAAAAGCAGAAGTGGCACTGTGACTCAAGTGGTAGAGTGCTAGCCTTGAGCTGAAGAGAACTCAGGGACAATGCTCAGCCCAGAGTTCAAGCCCCGTGACTAACAAAAAAAAATTGTTTCTGTGTAAGAATATCTAATAAAATATACCTATGTCTTTAGAATATCTTGAATAACTCATATACAACATAGAATATCCAAGCTTATATCTGTTTGTCTATTGCTTATTCATATTAAAACCAGAACTAGAATATAAATCTGTTTTCTTATAGGTTGAGGTTTGTTTTGTGTTGTTTTAACTCTGTTGGCTATTCTAGATTCTTACCATTTTCTACCAAAACAAGCTGGCATTTTAACTCATTTTGTGTTAAGTATTTAGATCTTTAACCTATGTCAGCATTGTTTTACAGTTTTCAGCACACAGGTATTTTACTTTGTCAGATATATCACTTAGTATTTTGTGTTTGGTATCACAAATGGTATTTTGTTTGCTTCTAGAATGTGGAGATGTGATTGATTTTTGTGTATTGATCTTGTGTCTGTCAATTTACAAAATCAAATATTAATTATAGCAGTTTTTATGGAGAGAATCAGATTTTACTCATAGACTATCATGTTCTCTGTGATTAATGACATTATTTTTTCTTTCTAATCCTTTTCATTCCTCTTTCTTGCTTTATAGTACTGCCTTGAACCTCTGTGGCTATGCTGAATATAAGTATTATTGAGGGCAGATCTCCGTGTCTTGTTCCTGATTTTAGGAGGAAGGAAATCTCTTCATGTTAAATATAATTTTAGCCATGAGTTTTTCATAAATTCCTTTTATAAAGTTAAAAGTACCTTTCTGTTCCTAATCTGCTGAGAATTTTTATCAGAAATGGACAAATGCTTCTCCTATATTTAGTGATGATATAAATAATCTGAGCTGTATCAATTGTTTTTTTTCCAATGTTAAGCCAACATTTTATGCATAGAATGAACCTTACTTCTTGATTTTTTTTATCCCTTTTATGCCTTGTTGGATTCAATTTCCTAAATTTGTGTTTAATATTTATATGTTCAAGAGGTATTTAGCCTGTATTTAATATATTTGATTTCAATAACAAAATAATACCTCAAAATTGAATTGGAAAATGTTGTCAACTACTTGGTTTTCCGGAAAAGTTTGTGTAATGTTACCATTTATTTTACAAACATTTGAAATATTCCTCCAGTGATGATATTTGAACCTTTAGTTTTCTCTATAGGAAAATAATTTTAGTAGCTTGTGTCTTTCCAAGGAATTTCTTGCAAATTCCAAAAAAAATTGACCATTTCATCTTAGTTGTCAAATTTTCTAGATTAAGATAGTTTCTGTGTTTATCGGGGTTTTTCTTTTTTTCTTTTTTTTGCCAGTCCTAGGGCTTCAACTCTGGGTGCTGTCTCTGTGGCTCTTTGTTCTTTTGGCTAGCACTCTACCACTTGAGCCACAGTATCACTTAGGGCTTTTTCTGAGTAGTTTATTGGAGATAAGAGTTTCATGGACTTTCCTGCCCGGGCTAGCTTCAAACCAAGATCCTCTGAGTAGCTAGGATTACAGATGTGAGCCACCAGCACCTGGCTTGTATTTATTTTTTTAATACCTTCAATGAATGCTGTCATGTCTCTCACTGTTCATAATTTCTGGTAATGTGTTTCTGTTCTCTTAATATTACTAATCAATCTTCCTATTATTGATCTTTTTTTTTTTTTTTTTTTTTTTTGCCAGTCATGGTGCCTGAACTCTGGGCCTGGGCACTGTCCTTCAGCTCAAGGCTAGTGCTCTACCACTTGAGCCACAGCACCACTTCCAGCTTTTTCTGCTTATGTGGTGCTGAGGAATCGAACCCAGGGCCTCATGCGTGCAAGGCAAGCACTCTACCACTGAGCCACCTTCCCAGCCCCTATTATTGATCTTTTCAACGCACTTGACTTCATTGATTTTCTTTTTACTTCATTGCTTTCCACTCATCTCTGATGTTCTCCTTTTCTACTGGGGAATTCCCTAGATAACTATTATTAATGTCTAATTTAATCCTATTGTGGTATAGATTCTGAATGTGTAATATATCTTAAATCCTTTTAAATTTAAGGAGATTTTTATAGACCAGAATTTAGTCTGTCCTGATAAGCATTCTATGTGCAATAGAAGTGAATTCTGCTGATGTATGTAGAATATACTATAAATGTCAACTAAATTTGTCTAATTTTTCTTTCAGTTGTCAGTAATGGTGTTTATTACACTTGGAGTATAATATTTATGATTGTTAGGACTTGATAAATTTAGCCACTTTATTACTAAGAAATAGTATTTGTTCTACCTGTTTATATGTATGTCCATGCATATATATGCACCTTAGAATACTATATTTCTCTTCTTCCAACCTTTTATAAACAGATTTAGTTAAGAGGAATAAAATCTTATATATTGTCTAGGTAGTTGCTGTTGCCAGGACTTTTTAATCCATTGTGTAAGTCCATATTTCCATATGGTATCCTTTTCCCCAAAGGATTTACTTTAATAATTTTTATGCTGCAGCTATGCTAGTGATGAATTCTTTCTGTATTTCTATCTCTAAAAAATTAATGACAGTATTTTGTCTTTATTTTTATAAGTAGTTTGCATTGAGTACTAGTTTCTAGGATGGTAATTTTGAAGTTTATATTGCTAGTTTAAAAATATTACTTCACTGTATTTTCACCTACATTGTTCCTTACAAATATACAACAAGGCTAACCTTTTCTTTTCTTATAAGAATTTTTTGTAAGCTCAGAGTGGTGGTACATGCCTATAATGCTAACACTTGGGAGGCTGAGGTAAAAAAAAAAAAAGATCAAGAGTTTAAGGCCTAAGCTACATAGCAAAACCATATAAATGCTACATATAATGAAAATTAATTTTCCTTATACTAGTTTTAATTGAGATCTGTCTTGGTTTAGTTTTCTTCATGTTTCTGTGCTTGAGATTTCTGAGGGTTTTGGTTTTTTTAACCTATAGGCTCAAATTTATCATCAAACTTAGAAAGATTTTGGTCAGATTTTTCCAACCATTTCTATTCCAACTTTTCTTTTTTCTCCTTAAAGGACTCTAATTAAATATATATCTAGCTGTGCAGTGTTTTGCTACAGCTTTCTCTACTTTTTTTAATCTTTATTTTTACTACTCCATTTTCTATGTTGTAGACAGTTCCTGTTGCAGTATCTTCACATTGACTCATCTCTTCTTAAATAGAGAATCTGCTCTTCTCCAATGAATTTTCACCCCACATATTATAGTTTTTTACCTATGAATGTTCTTTTTAAGTCTGCTGTATCTTTCTATACTTGACATTTTTACTATATATAACACCATTTTTTGTTTCATTTTCTTTTGTTTGGGGATGTTCTTTTTTTGCCAGTCCTGGGGCTTAAACTTAGGGCCTGGGCACTGTCCATGAGTTGCTTTTGCTCAAGGCTAGCACTCTACCACTTGAGCCACAGCGCCACTTCGTGGTACTGAGGAATCGAACCCATAGCTTCATGCATGCTAGGCAAGCACTCTACGACTAAGCTACATTCCAGGCTGTAACACAGTTTTTTAGTAGCATTCTTAATTCCCTTTTCTGCTAGTGCTAACATTTGCATCATTTGTTTTTTTTTATTTGAGTTGTCTCTTGTTATGGCTAATATTTTTCTAGGGCTGTTGACCAAAGAAACAAGACTCTTGAATGTACTCTTCTTTCTTTATGTGTGTGCTGGTCCTGGGGCTTGAACTCAGGTCCTGGGCACTTTGTGCTTTTGTGCTCAGGGCTAGTGCTCTGCCATTTAAGCCACAGCTCCATTTCCAGCTTTTTTGGTGATAAGCATCACACAGACTTTCCTTCCCTAGACTGGCTTTGAATGGGCTTTGAATCAGGTCTCAGCCTCAGCTCTCAGCTCTCAACCTCTTGAGTGGCTGGGATTACAGGTGTGAGCCACTGGCACCCTACTGTTCTGTGAATCTTTAAGCTTCTGGATCTGGCTGGTGGAAGTAGTGACTATGGCCTGTGAGTGCAGAGCACTCCGTCTTTTCTGTGTATTCTTTCCTTAGCCTTGAGAAGTTTTCTCACTTGTATGTGCTCATCTTAACCTAGTACAGTGCTCAAGGAAGAGCCTCTAGTGCTGCTTCTGTGCTGCTGTCTCCTCTCTAGAACTTGGTCCTGTAGCCAAGTTCTGTCACCACATTCTTCTCCTTGTGGCCATATTCTCCCTGTCTCATCAACTCAGTTTGCCTTCCACTTAGGTAAGCCTTCAAGTTGTTAGTCGATCTCTGTTACTTCGTTTTGGCTAAGTAAAAGTCCTCTTCACTTTGTGCCTATATCAGACAAATCACTGTTATTTTCTCTCATTTTAGTGCAAAAAACATACACCCCTAACAAACTTAAAGCATACTCATAATAAATGTTGAGTTAAATTATCTCTTTCAAATTCTACAGAGTCCTCTATAAACCCCTCTCAGCCTGCAGACCTGCTCCAGTGCTCCTTTCCTGTTCTTCCTTAAAAAGTGAAATATTCAGTAAAATAGCTCAGTTAAAACTTTAAAAATTTAAATTTGTTTGAAAGATTGACATGAAACTCAGCAGTGCCACACTTAAGGAATGAAAGCTGCCTAGTTGTTGCAAGTGTTACCTTCAGTGCTCAAGCAGATATAAACCTCCAAGTGGATTAGAAGCCCCTCCCATCCTCACTGAACAGCACTCCTCCTGTGTGCCCAGTCTCCAACACAAGAGAGTTTCTTCCTATAATCTTGAAACGGCTAAATTCTCCCAACTTAAAGACCTTCTATGTGCATCATAAGTGAACAAACACCCAAAGCTTAGTGATAAGCTTTTATCTAACTACTTGTCAATTTGTTTTAAATACTTGGTCTTTTTGTTTTTAGGAACATAGCTACAGTGTAATGGACAGTCCAAAGAAACTTAAGCATAAATTAGATCATGTGATCTGTGAGCTGGAAAATACCAAGGAAAGTCTACGGAATGTTTTAGACAGAGAAAAACATTTCCAAAATTCATTGAGAAAAACAATCAGGGAATTAAAGGAAGAATGTCTGATCAGCCAAGAAACAGCAAATAGACTGGACGCTTTCTGTTGGGAATGTCCAGAGAGCATGAAATAAGACGGTACTCTGAAAGAATTTCATGTCTGGTCTACCAACAGTTGGTATTCACCCAGCTTCTTAGAAAATGGCTGTCACATACTGTCATCACTAACACCATTGAAAGCTCTTCTTTGGATCCTCTGGAGCATTATGAATTATAGTTACCCAAAGACTCCTTTGAAGATGTCTAAAAATACATGGTAGTTACCAGTTTTTTCTGTATGTGACTCACAACCATTGTATTTTATAGATTTAAACTAGTGCCAGGTCACTTATGATGCTAAAACCACAGGAAGGTTCCACAAAAATAAGGACATAACATCAAATTCACCATATTAAGCTCTAGTAGTAGAAGCTAGACAGTTCTTCAGCAGCATCGGATTTTTGGCTTCAAACAAATACCTTATGCTTTTTGGTAAGTTTAATTTTAAATGTATTTTACTATAAAGTAGCATTCATTTATAACACAAATCCATTTTGAAGCCATCCCAAGTTTCTTCGGATGTTATTAATTCTAAAGGATCTGTTTCCATGGCACTGGTCCTGAGAAAAACTCATGTAAAGATATTTTTGCCTTTTGCTGGGCACTCGTGGTTCATGCCTATAATCCTAATTACTCAGGAAGCTTAATTCTTAGGACTGCAGTTCTAACGCAGCCTGGGCAAAAAAGTCTGTGAGATCCTTATCTCCCAATTAGCCAACAAAAAACTGGAAGCAGAGCTGTGGTTCAAATAGTAGAGCACTAGTCTTGAACAAAAAAACCTAAGGGATGGCATCCAGGCCCTGAGTTCAAACCCAAGTACTACCAAAACTTTTTTTAAAAAAGATCTGTTACCTATTAAAGTTGTTAAGAACCATTTGAAGAAGATCCCTAATAAAATTTCATTTTGACAATACATGAATGCTTTGGTACAAACCAAAATAGTGTTAAAAACAAAACAAAAAGGGTCATCAATTTGACATAAATGGCTACTTGTTCTAACAGCTATGAATTTTTTTTTGCTTTATGACTAACATCATATAGGTATGCCTTCAAAGTATGAATGCCAGAGCTACCTGAATATGTAGGATATATCCTGCAATCCCAGGGGATCACACAGGCAGGCAGGCACAGGAGAAAGATTATTATAAGGTTTATTAGAGAGCCCATCTCTCCCCCAGGAGAGGGAACAATATGGCATCTGAGCCTATCCAGGTGGGTGGCTGTGGAGAGAGGGAGTGGCCAGCTAAATGGCAGGAACTCTAAGGCAGGGAGGAGCTCAGGTCTGGGTGGAGCTAAGAACCTGAGGTGGAGATTATACTAACAATATGTAATGCTGCTTTGTATTTTATAGAAAGTACTATTGCCGAGTCTACTCAAGAGGCGGAAATCAGCAGGATTGAGGCCAGCCTGGTCAAAAGTTAACAAGACTCCATATCAACAAAACAAACCCAGTTTGGTGGTATGCTTCTGAAATCCCAGTTTCACAGGAGGTGTAGGTAGCAGGATCATGGTCCAAGGACACCCATATGGGGGACTCTGTTTGAAAAATAACTGAAGATAAAAGGAGGTCTGGCCTATGTGGTAGACCATTGGCTCGCAAGTGCAAGGCCTGAGTTCAAACTGCCTGTGCTGTGCTCTCCACCCCACCCCCCAGAAACACTTGATTGCTGATGCTTAAAAACATACAGAATGTAAACTGGGTATCAGTGAACTCATGCCTGTAATTGTAACTACTGAAGAGGCTGAGATCTGAGGATCAAGATTGGAAGCCATCCTATGAAGACTAATTCAAGAAAATCTTATCTCCAGATAACCAGCAAAAAGCTGAAAATGGAGACATGGCTTAAATGTCAGAGTGCCAGCTGTGACCAAAAAAGTGTATTGGGAGCATGAAGATCTGAGTTCAAGCCCCAATACTGACATGCATACACATGCCAAAAAAAAAAAAAGGGAGAAGAAATCATTAAAAATAAATAATGGTTGGTCTTCTGGTAGACATAGTAATTAGGAGATTAGACTTTTCCAGGGCTTTATTTATAGAAATAGGTACATAAAACAGACATTTTAGAAAAACTTCTTACCAAATATACAAAGACTATATCTTAGTTATAAGTCTCAGAAACAGCTTCTCTCCTAATGTCTTATTAAATGACTGAAATTTAAAAACATCATACCATGATTAGAATAAAAATTGTTAATCCAGCTAGGCGCCAGTGGCTCACACCTGTAATCTAGCTACTCAGGTGGATAAGCTCTGAGGATCACAGTTCAAAGCCAGCCCAGTCAGGAAAGTCCCTGAGACTGATCTCCAGTTAACCACCAGAAAACCGGAAGTGGTGCTGTGGCTCAAGTGGTACTGTGGCTCAAGTGGTAGAGCACAAGCCTTGAGCTGAAAAGCTCAGGGAGAGTGCACATCCCTTAGACTCTGCTCTGAAACACATGTAGAAAGAATCTTACTAGGAATTCCATACTGGGGCTAGGAAGGTGGCTCAGTGGTAGAGCGCTTGCCTTGCATGCCTGAGGCCCTGGGTTCGATTCCTCAGCACCACATAAGAAAAAAGCCAGAAGTGGCACTGTGGCTCAAGTGGTAGAGCGCTAGCCTTGAGCTGAAGAGCTGAGGGACAGCGCCCAGGCCCAGAGTTCAGGCCCCTCGACCGGACCAAAAAAAAAAAAAAAAAAGAATTCCATACTGTAAGCCAGGTACCTATCGCTCACGCCTGTAATTCTAACTAGTCAGGAGGCTGAGATCTGAGGATTGTGGTTCAAAGCCAGCCCAGGCAGAAAAGTCCGTATGACTCTTATCTCTAATAAACCACTAGAAAACCGGAAGTGGCGCTGTGGCTCAAGCGGTAGAGTGCTTGCCTTGAGCTGAAGAGCTGAAGGACAGCGCCCAAGCCCAGAGTTCAAGCCCCAGGACGGACAAAAAAAAATTCCATACTGTAGTCTACCATTTGAGAATCAATTGCTTCATTGTGTCAATAAGAAATAAATTTCACTTTGTGCTGACTTTTCATTGTAATTTTGTGTTACATTAATATCAGTAAGAATTAGCCAGGTGCCGGTTGTAATCCTAGCTACTCAGGAGGCTGAGATCTGAGGATCGAGGTTCAAAGCCAGCCCAGGCAGGAAAGTCGGCAAGATTCCAATTAACTACCAGAAAACTGGAAGTGCTGCTGTAGCTTAAGTGGTAGAGCACTAGCCTTGAGCTGAAGAGCTGAAGGACAGCACCAAGGCCGAGAGTTCAAGACCCACAACCGACAAAAATATATACGTATCAGTAAGAATATAATCACTTCAATTTTTTGTATTTAGAGTTTTTTATGTTTTTATGTGTGCTACATTTTTACACATCATTCCAAACCTTCCTTCTAAATGAGATTTTACCCACATTTAAAGATAAGGAGGGAACTTTTGTTTTGTTTTGTTTTTACCAGTCATGGGGCCTGAACTCTGGGCCTGGGCACTGTCCCTCAGCTCTTCAGCTGAAGGCTAGCACGCTACCACTTGAGCCACAGTACAACTTTTGGCTTTTTTTTTTCTGCTATGTGGTGCTGAGTAATCAAACCCAGGGCCTCATGCATGCAAGGCAAGTGCTCTACCACTGAGCCACCTTCCCAGCCCCAGGAGGGAACTTTTTTTAACCAGGTACTTGTTAGTTATTTAATCATGTTGAATTAATAATAGGTACCCCAATGAAAAGTTTGGACATAATCTTGGGTTTTATGGCACTATGTTGATAAAGATGGAGTTTTCTTCTCTCCTTTTAATGGGTAATGGAGAAAAACGTGAGCCACTGTGTTCCAACACATCTCCTGCTTCCTGGAGTGAGTCTGGCCTGGAAGACTTCTAAGAGTAAAGTCTCTGCCTGCCACTTTCACTGCCTGTGTTCACAGTGAACTTGGCCCTGGTTTCCCCAGACCTGGTTTCCCTGAGCAGAGAGACATCTGCCTGCTTGCTCTTTATTCTTATAAAAAACCACAATTCATCCTGCCCCAAATGCCTTAACACAGCACATACCTCAGCCCGGGGACAATGGAAAAACTAAGTCATCCCATCCCAAAGTTCCTGGGCAGCAAGGTTGGCCTGAGAGCTCCAATTTGCTTTCAACTTTGAGTGGTCTTTAGATCCTGAACACATGGTACACCTGTTCAACCTCAGTTGACCAAGCCACTTGTAACACACCTGATGTGACAGCCGTCCCTGTATCGTTTAAACTGCTAAGGAAAAAAAAAATGCTAAAGCAAACTACAGCTGTAACATAAAGGAGGGGAAAAAAATCTATTACTTGAAGAATAACTAGAGAAAGTCCACAGGAGAAATCACTGCCCTCCTACATCTGTTACTTCCCTTCCCTCACCTGTGCTTCTGATCCTGGAATTGTGTCTGCCAGAGATGAGTATGCCAGAAGAAGATGTTGAATCAGGAGCACATGGCACACAATTCTTCATCCATCCATGGTTAGCGCCGGTAACTGCAGGTGAGAAAGAAATGCTGAGCTCTTTTCTGTACTGTAGGCCAGGGACCATGCTACTCAGGGAACAAACAACAAAGACAAGCCCACTTGCCTGCTCAAGGAGGCCAGGGACCAGTGAAAACTTCCAGCTGCCATAATCCAGGGATACAAAGGAGTGTCCTATATCTCAGGAGAATGCATTCTTAAATTCCGCTTAATGTATTTTACTGTCGGACAACACACCTGCCTGTACCACGTGTTCAGGTTAAGTGGTTAGGTCTCATTCACTTGAACTTAATCTTCTTGGGTACATAGGGAAGTATATTTGCTGGCCTATTTAATGTACTAGTTTAGTGTATTAAACTATCACATATAATTTTTGTTTAAATGTAGGAGGTTGAGCCTAGGGTCTTGGGCATGTAAGACAGTACTCTACCATTGAGCTACACCCCCCACGTCTTCTCTATATACTGTTGTATGGGTAGACTGAGTAAGATGAAGGCATTCCTAGCCTGCAGGGACACAGAAGAATCTAATGCAAACAGAGGTAAATGGCAGGGATTTGGACAAATAAAGATGCTGAGACTGAAACTTTTTTTTTTTTTGGTCAGTCGTGGGGCCTGAACTCTGGGCCTGCGCACTGTCCCTCAGCTCTTCAGCTCAAGGCTAGCGCTCTACCACTTGAGCCACAGCACCACTTCCAGCTTTTTTTCTTTTTGCTTATGTGGTGCTGAGAAATCGAACCCAGGGCCTCATGCATGCAAGGCAAGTGCTCTACCACTGAGCCATCTTCCCAGCCTGTGAAACTAATACAGCGTCAAAACTCTAGACAAATTCTGTCCCAAATGTGGATTCTATCAGCATACTTGTCAGGAGAGTACAAGACAAGACCCTAGATGGAAGAACCAACACAGATCTGGCTTCAGATCGTAGGCAGGCTTGTCACTTTACTGCTTGTAAGACTAGTCAAGTTACTGACTTTCTCTGAACATTTACAAAGTAGATACTCAGTTCCTTAGCAGTGGATAGAGAGAGAGAGACAGAGAGAGCTGTATCATAGACCATAAAATGAGCCATGTTTCTTATTCTTTTTTTCTTATTCTTATTTCTTTTTTCTTTTCTGATTCTGGGACTGGGTGCTGACTTTTAGCTTTTTTTCTCAAGGCTAGTACTCTACTACTGAAGCATAGCTTCACTTTCGGGTTTATTTTTTGCTGGTTAATTGGAGAAAAAAAGTCTCATGAACTTTCCTACTTGGGCTGGCTTCGAACCTCAATACTCAGATCTCAGCCTCCTGAGTAAATAGGATTACAAAGGTGAGCCACTGGTACCTGGCTTTTTTTCTAAATCTCACCCCAGAAACATTAAGAACAGGACAAAGGGCTAAAAGCAAGAGGAGGAAATGCATTTAGTAGTGATTTGGAGTGATAGTTGCATGGACAGCCGTGAGCAGGTCTTCATCCTATAATCATAGGTACCTATAATCATAGCAAATCAGGAAGCTGAGATCTGAGGATTATGGCCAAAAGCTAGCCTGAGAGTTGGGAATGTGGCTTAGTGGTAGAGTGCTTGCCTAGCATGCATGAAGCTCTGGGTTCGATTCCTCAGTACCACATACACAGAAAAAGCCAGAAGTGGCTTTGTGGCAGAATGCTAGCCTTGACCAGAAAGAAGCTCAAGGATAGTGCCCAGGGAAAAAAAAAAAAAAAGCTAGCCTGAGCCAGGAAATCCATGAGACCCTTTCCTCCAATCACCCACCAAAAAGCCAAAAGTTGAGCTGTGGTGCCACTGGTAGAGTGCCAGCCTTGAGCAAAAAGGCTCAGGGACAGCACTCAGGCCCTCAATTCAAGTCCTGGAATTGACAAAAAAAAAAAAGGGAATTCACAGGCCAGTGTTCAGATTCTAGAGCTTACAGAATAAAGACCAACAAGATTTTGTAGCTTATTGGTTAGTCCAGCCAATTTTGCAGGACTTTCTCATGACTGAAACAACAAATTGATTGGCATTCTGGAGCAAGTGCCTTTTCTCCTTCAGCTTCACCAGCTGCTACTGTGGGAACACTGTTTCACAATACCAAGTCATCTGTGAAACGTCTTTGAACTAACCTAAGCAGTGGTTTGTGGTCAGATGACTGAGGAATTCCCAGCAAATTTGTGTCAGATAATAAACTTCTCAGGTCTTTGGGGCAGAGATGATGCATTTGAAAAGTATCCTCACCTCTGACACAGCAGATCTAGGCTTCATGCTTTTTTAAAACAGTAGTGGTTTATTAAATAAGGAGACTGAGGTATACCGGCTGTGCAGAATGCTGACCATAAATCCTAGTGATGAGTGCCTTGTGGAAACAGGCATTCAGCTATAGACTTGCAGTTAAGTATGCTCAACGTATAATTTCAATAAAAAGGCTGCTGGTGCTTATTGAAAGAGTAGATTTTTATAACAGTACAAAATGAAAGAAACTACTTTTGAAATTCTGAGAAATAAACTAAAAAACTGTGAAGACCAAACTTGTTTCGGTTTAAAAAAAAAAAAAAAAAAAAACCTGTAGGGCTGGGAAGGTGGCTCAGTGGTAGAGTGCTTGCCTTGCGTGCATGAGGCCCTGGGTTCAATTCCTCAGCACCATATAAACAGAAAAAAAGCTGGAAGTGGTGCTGTGGCTCAAGTGTTAGAGGGCTAGCCTTGAGCTCAAGAGCTGAGGGGCAGCGCCCAGGCCCAGAGTTCAAGTGCCACAACTGACAAAAAAAAAAAAAAAAAAACCTGTGAAGGAATTGAAGATGATACTAGAAAACAAAGACCTCCCATGT